GTGTATAGTTCATCAAACACTTCATTAGATACGCTCAGGATGCCAACATGACAATAATCTTTGCTTTGTGCAAAATGAAAACGGAATAACACATTTTAGTCAAAAACAGCTGACCTGGAAAAATAGGAAATGTTTTTTATTTGGACTATTTTGGTAAATAATTTACCATTTCCTCCCATTCCAGATGTTTGAAAATGTTCTTTTACAGACCAAGCTAACAGCCACTGTTAGGAATACCATCTTACCTGATGGCTTACCTGATGTGGTTGCTGATTACACTTACACAGTGCTAGGAGATCCTTTCATATAACCCTCCTGGGCCCAAAAGTCATGTATATATTTTTAATAATTAGTATGAAACATTGCTTTATATATTAATTGATATGTTCAAATGAGAAGTGGAAGTAGAGCCTGGTGACCTAAATCTACTTTTATCCATTTTTATTGTTCAATATCACTACCACCTGAGAACATCACAAGGCGCTAGCTATTCTCATTTCTCCTTAGAACATATTCACATCTACCTGAAAAAAAAGATGCCAGACTGGGTTGTTGAGCTGATGATCTCTTCTCCATCAATATTTTTTAGCACTAGATCTCTAATATTTTTGTGTTTTATAATAATATATATGAATCTTAAGTCTTATCTTTTGACCCCCAAAGTATTTAACCAATATTTAATTCATTACCAAACTTGAATTTAAACTTTTTTTGTGTATGTTTCAGAATGAAATTAAGTCCATAAAAGCCTTATATGTACTATAGTTATGATTTCCAGCCTATAGAGCAGGGGTGGGGAACCTTTCGGCCCTCCAGGTGTTGTGGACTACATCTCCCTTGATGCTTTGCTAGCATTATAGCTGCAAGAGCATTATGGAAGATGTAGTCCAAAACATCTGGAGGGCCTAAGGTTCCCCACCCCTGCCCTAGAGGAATGCATTTCTCTGTTTTTATGTGTTAAGAGTATATCCCCCTTTTTTAATTTTACAAAAAGGGCAGTTTTATAAACTAACCTTGCTACACCCCCTGGCTGCCAGAGCTACAACTAAACTAGTCCTGCTACTTCCGGATTTGTTTAGCTCAGATGGAGATAAACTCAAGAGACAGACAACTGCCCAGAGTATCTTTCTTGCAAAGATTTCTCATTGAGTTGCATTGATAAGTCTGTGATTGGACAGCCATAGAAAGTCTGAGTGGTGTTAGAAGGTTAGGGCTTGGAATGGCTGCAGACAAGAGAACTGCAGCTTTTACAAGTTGTTTTTAGATTTACCCCTAATGAAAAAATGCATAAATACATGCATGTTTACATTGAGGACATTTCTACTAAATATTTCTTTTTCACATTTAACAGAATATGCTATTCATACTGTCTGGATAAATCATGGCTGTGGATCTCATATTATCTATAAGATATATTTCATAATGCTAGCATAAGACTCCACCATATTGCAGGACAAGACTTTCAAACTCTGTCGAAATGCAGAAATCATAAGTGTCTCTCAAAAACTTAGTGATTGGGCTACCCTGCATGCACAGAGCACTAACGGTGCATCAAAATCCCCCTACGCAGAGAAATGTAAAATAACACTTAGAAACTGGCTCTGACTGTGTAGGCGCTTTCTCAATGCTGAGTTGATGTCTCAGAAGTCAGGTCCCATCAGGTACACCAATTTCTTATGGACAGGTACTCAGGAACCAGTGTAGTTGAAAAAACTTTTATTTCAGAGTAAAGGATAAAAGATATATAAAATCAGGAATATATCAGTTGGATAAGTAGCACAACTCGTTTCGACCTCTAACTAGGTCTTCCTCAGGTGCTTATGAAAACAGTGCTTGCAACTACATATATACACAAAATAAATTAACCTAATTAGGTCTGGGTGCGTTAATTACTTCAAATTACCCTTACCAGATTTGGGCAACTTCCACTCCTCCCAATGTGGATGCTGTGTGGGCTCAGTCTCAATAATCCTCCTATGTCTGCCATGCGTCCTATTCTGGCGGTGCCTCTCCTCAGATGGCAGCACCTCAACTTCCTATGACGCGTTTCCAGCCACGACCATCATCTCTTTGCCCAAAACCAAGATGGCCACGTGTGTGTTTCCGGTAAAGGTATGCATGTTAAATCATACCGGGGATTAAAAGTTCATAGCTCATTGAGTCCATAAGTACCATATTGCGGAGGGGCAATGATCCAATTAAAAAGGATGAAAGATAAAAAGTGTAAAATTAAACACTGGGTATTATACTTTAATATAAATATAAATAAATCTAATGGTAAAAGTCTTCATCTCCAACAATAGTGAGAATATCCAAGTAGAAAAAAGCAATGATGAGGTAGTTTAATAAAAGATATATATAGATATAAGACAACTATTGTTATATATAAAAAAACCTTAATAAAACTTATAAAAATGGGTAATTTAATAAAACATCTTTTAAAAAACATGTCTAAAACACTAAAAGGACTTTAAAAATGGAGTTAATTTCAAAATCAATAATGAGCCCTTTTGGAGATAGTGTCTGCAGTTCAAAAATACACTTAGTTTCCTGTTTACCTAAACTGCAGGCAACATCCCCACCTCTCCAATGTGCAACAGCTTTGTCTATTGCTAAAAATTCTAACTCTTTAGGATTTGAATTGTGGGCTTCTAAAGAGTGTTTAGATACACTATGATTCACAAATCCATTTTTTATATTCCTAACATGCTCACTGATTCTTGTTTTAAGAGACTAGGATGTCTTGCCTACATATTGTAGTCCGCAAGTACATTTTAGCAAACAAATTACATTCTTCGTTAGCCGTTTGATATTATATTCTGTATTTGTTACTTGAGAGTACTTAAGTACTATTCTTTAGACATGTGCACCAGTGAAATTTTCATTTCGTACAAATGATTTTGTACTAAATAAAAATCGCATTTGTCAATCCCGAATTTCGTCCTCAAACCATTCGTTTTGTAAAGAAATTTATTAAAAAATAATTAGTTTTTGTCCATTAGGACGCATGCGTATTCGCGCAAAAAAACAAAACAAAAAAACAAAAACAAAGAGGGAGCCGGGAGCACTACCTATTCCCTCCTTGTAATAAAAAACTATTTCTGCCCCCACTCCCCCCCTGCATTAAAACCTATGGGGGTCACTATGACCACCATATTAATAAAAGGGAGGTTAAATTCTCCCGCATGCCCCTACTCACAGCATGCCGCAAGTAGGGGCATGTCGCCTAAACAGCGAGCAAGAAATAACAGAATGTCCCTAAATGGCACTATTGGTGTGTACAAGTGAACACAATATTGTTGAATTGGTAAGGCAGTAGCTGAGTGACAGGCAACAGAGGGTTGTAGTCAATGGAGTATATTCAAAGCTTGGGCTTTTCACCAGTGGGGTACCTCAGGGATCTGTACTTGGACCCATTCTCTTTAATATTTTTATTAGTGATATTGCAGAAGGTCTTGATGGTAAGGTATGTCTTTTTGCTGATGATACTAAGATATGTAACGGGGTTGATGTTCCAGGAGGTATAATCCAAATGCCAAATGATTTAGGTAAACTAGAAAAATTGTCAGAGTTTTTGCAACTGACATTTAATGTGGATAAGTGCAAGATAATGCATCTTGGATGTAAAAACCCAAGGGCAGTGTACAGAATATTTGATAGTGTCCTAACCTCAACATCTGAGGAAAGGGATTTAGGGGTGATTATTTCTAATGACTTAAAGGTGGGCAGACAATGTAATAGAGCAGCAGGAAATGCCGCTCATGGGTGGGGACCAAGGGGGACATTAGGTCCCCCCTTTAATTAATTAGGGTCCCCACCCGCCGTTCATGAGTGGGAACCTGGGGGGACATTAGGCAGCAGATAAGGGGGGTGGTATTGTATTCCTAGACAGGGATTTTTATCTTGAGGAAATAAAAAGACATATCCTTCTGGGATATTCTCACTATTGTTGGAAATTAAGACATGCTCATACCGGAAACACACACGCGGCCATCTTGGTTTTGGGAAAAGGGATGATGGTCGCAGCAGGAAATGCATCATAGGAAGTTGACGCACCGCCATCTTGGTAGAGGCACTGCTGGAATAGGACGCATGGAGGACATAAGAGGATTATTGAGACTAAGCCCACACGGCATCCACATTGGGAGTGACGGAATTTGGCCATATATGGTAAGGGGCGTTAATTTGAAGTAATTAACGCACCCGGACCTATTAGATTAATTTATTTTGTGTATATATGTAGTTGCAAGCACTGTTTTGTCATAGGAACCTGAGGAAGACCTAGCTAGAGGTCGAAACACGTTGTGCTATTTATCCAACTGATCTATTCCTGATTTTATATATATTTTATCCTTTACTCTGAAATAAAAGTTTTTTTCAACTACACTGGTTCCTGAGTACCTGTCCATAAGAAATTGGTGTACCTGATGGGACCTGACTTCTGAGACATCAAATCAGCATTGAGAAAACGCCTACACAATCAGAGCCAGCTTCTAAGTGGCTCTTAAATTTGTGAGTGCTGCAATTTCTTCATTACTTAATATATTCAAACATACTACACTACGATATTTTCTATATTTTGTACTGTATAGGTTTATTTCCTGTAATCTACAATTAAGAGGTTTTTACCAACTTGTACGCGTGTCACCTTGGCTTTTACAATTTTGTTGATGATGGTTGCAATAGAACATAATATAATAATTTTTCCAAAAATGTTATACCTATTCCATATGTTTATTCCTAACAAGCATTTATGGAAACCTTCTGTTTTTGCCTGCCTGCCTTTTTCTTGGCTGAAGAATCCACTATTTAAAAACACAGTTTAGATGATATTTCCTTTACATTGCTGATAATATAAGGAACAGGTTTTTTCAAGCAGTGATATAGTTTGTATAATGTATCTTTTGAGTTGTCGGTGTTATAGAATGCATTTTGCTCAGATTTGAATTACAAGACACAATATCAATGGAAGTAGGAAAAAAAGAATACAGGGAAACAAATTGTATATTGTTGTGTTTTCCTTTATTAGACACATCACATAGGGAGATCAATGTGTGCTATTTGCATGCAGAGGAAGACAGAATTATTCTAGTTTCTGGGTTCAATCAGTCTCTTAACTGACATGTGGCAAGTTTGTCTTAAAATTACATCATGCTTATTGAGAATGCAAGCATCAGCATATATTGTTCTGCACCATCTCAGTCTACGTGTTCATGCTTTATTTACACAGGGGAACAAGCTCTGCTCGGATCACGGAATTGATGATGGAATTCTAAATCAAATTGAGAAAAGTACAGATGCAAAACTACCCTATCTACAGCTTGTCTGGCAAACAAGTCCTATGGCCAAGTTATGCTTGCTGTGCTAGGTAATACTGATTGTCTAGAGATAGTTCCACAGTAGGACAACATACATCTTTCACTGCCAGCTGAGAGTCACCATAAACATCTTGATAAGCTACTCAGGCAAGACTTTGGCTGCCAGTATATGGATTAGTTATAGAATAAAGCAAAGACCATCTCTGATTGTTCCTCTCTAGCATAAACCAACAGCAATATAAGCACTATGTCTGCGGAAACAAACTGGGAATATGTATTCCGTGCAAACAAAATAAAAACTGTTCCCATTTTCAACATAGAGAAAAATAATGTGTCATACCCATAGTGAAATACACTTTTGAACTGTATGATTCTGCAAAAAAGGGTAATGAGCAGCTTGCTTGACATTTGGAAAATCCCATAATCCTCTTCCAGCTACAGGATGTAGTTTGTCAACATTGCCCATTTTCTCCTGTGTCATTTATTTAAAGGAGCACTACAGTGTTAGGAATATAGACATGTATTTCTAACACTATAGTGTTGGCCTAGGTATTTAGGTGCCTGGCCCACCTCGGAGTGGAGTAAAAAGGTTGTTTTACTCAGCTTTTCCTCATTGCCTATGCCAGTTTCGCAGCGGCTGGACCACCTCCACATCTGAGTTTATCAGCCTTAGTGATCTCAGCCAGTCCAATTCTTGGAAGGCTATTGCACATGCACAGCAAAAAGCCGTGCTGTGCTAATTAGCATCTCCTCATAGAGATGCATTGACTCAACACATCTCTCTGTGGAGTGTTCAGTGTCTCCATGCAGAGCGTGAGGAAGTTGAATGTAGGTGCTGCACACAATGCAGCACTGAAATAGGAATCACCTCTAGTGGCTGTCTCAGTGATCGCACTAGAGATGTTACTAGGTATCAATGTAATAGCATTTACATTGAAAAGCATGCAGGGACATGCTATACACATGAGAATCACTACATTAAGCTGTAGTGGTTCTGGTGACTATAGTGTCCCTTAAAGTGTCAAAAGTATGAGCTCTGCTATTGGTAATGTAAGCAAATATATCAATAAGTGTGTAATGGTATATTTAGGTATATACATGCATGTAAAACACATGTACACACACCAATTTACAAATATAAATCTATTTGTTTAAAATAATACAAGAAAGAGCATATATATGAAACAAGAAATATTTTCTTCTTATACGGTTCTTTCTAACTATCACTAGTTATATCAGTAGTCATCTTGGCATCTACCCATGCATAAGGCAATCTGCAAAAAACTGGCCAATGTTAGCCTGCTCAGACTGATGTGTTGTAATTTTTTTTTCTCAGTTAAAAAAAAAAAAGCTCTTGAACCAAAAAGTAAATAATCGTTTTCCTCTATACTCCTTAATAGCCAGAAGGGTGATAAGCCATTACAATACCCTTCCAGTGTTCAAATAGTTAATATTTCAGCCTTGTCTAATAGAAATACATATCCGCTCAGCTGCAGACAAAGAGTATTATAATTTACACTGCATATTAAAGACTGCATGGGTTTCATTTTCTCCTGGATCACATTTACATATTCTTAGAACACAAGAACTTCAAACATAGCACATCTGGATACAACTTGTTTTCATTAAGTGAAGATTATCTTCTAAATGCTTTTACAAAAACTATATCAGTTAGTATACCCTTATCCATGTTACAACATTTCATTACTTCAACAAGAGCTTTACATGAAAAATGCATCTTCAAAAATCACACAGGATATCTTAAAGGCCTACGTCACATCTTGTTTCTGTAGCTAGAACAAAAATGATGAATAGAAAAGTCCAAGAATAAAATGTTCTGCTGTCAGCTAACCTGCGTCTGAAGCCTCCAGACAATACAGATGAGCAATTTGCACTTAGAAGTCAGAAGAAATGTATGCTACCTGTTACTGACAAAGGTTATTATTTACCTTAAGTAACAAATACACCAAATTAAGTCATACTACACAAGGACAAGTAGCACGATTTAGAAGTAGTTTAAGGGCATGCACAAGTTGCAGTTGATATAGTACGGAGATTATCCTACTGAGCGTTGTTCGTTTTTTGGCTACCAAAAAGCAGCAGTTTCAGCCCAGGTAATTAGTGTATATAATAAGCTGACGGATATATTTTGTCCAAAGTACAGAACTCTTTATAAGTCAAGACAGTGAAAGCTCCATGCAGATTTGAGAAGCTTCGTAGTCAACAGCAGGCTAGACCACGGCACCATGTTTAAAGTCACAGAAACAAAAATGGAACACACATTAAGGTCACATAAAATGCCAAATCTAAGTTAATGGAATGAAAAACAGATTTCAGTACACAATGGTGATATTTACATACATATGTTAATAAAACATGAAGAATACAAATGATTGAGCATTCCTACCTGTCTATAGAAATATAATTAAGTTTCAGGCCCAATGTTAAGGCTTTTTTTGTTTGGGGCAAAGGGGGGATTTTTTTTGTCAACCTAGTAACCTGCTGTCAGGCAGGACCTGGTGGTGGGGTTTGTTGGGTAACACAGGAATTGTTTCACTTTTAAAGGGAATGCACTAATCAGATGTGATTCAAAACATTTCTAAACAATCCAGGTGAAGCCACCTCCAACAGTAGAGTTTACAGACTCTTGTTTTATTGAGGATTGTCTTATAGTAGCACATAAGTACTGACTATGAAACTTTGCACTGGATACTCTGTATGCTGCAAGATACATTTTCTGATGTAACTTTTATATATAAATATATACGTAAAGAGAGTGTACAAGTGTTAACAGAGTTGAATAAAATGCATGTGACGTGCAAAATGATATGTCAACTAAAAACACACATTATTAAGTATTTTAATTTAAATCCTGGTTTAGAATATCCATTGACTCAGACAATGTCTCACGCTTAACATTCTGTGGACTACAGTTTACATTGTGCTAGGCCAGGCCACTGCTCCATTTTGGCAATGGTGGAGTATAATGGTCTATTTGACTCAAGCAATCTATTTCACTCAATGATTCTATAAGTCAATCTACTTACATGTAATTGTTAATTGACTAAAAATGAATACATGACATTATTAACAAAATAGTAATGGGGCTGGTCTTTTCCTTTTTATTTTCATTTTGGTGACACTGCAAACTACATTTCAGGTTAATGAGACCCTTAATAGCTGTTGAAATAATTAAGTCCTGTTTTTATGTCTATATTTACATTCTCACAGTAAATTTCAATAACCTTAATGTGAAAGTACTGATATACAGTTATAGATTGAATTACTGGAACCCATTGTGAAGTCATTTTTGGCACATAGATGTTTTTTCTAGGGACATATAAATAGGAGCACATACTTTAATTAATATGTTTTATCACTTGCCGACCTAAACTAGCATTTTATAAATATATTTTAGTGAGTCCAGTAAATTAAATTAAGGCTTTACCTTGTGAACGATAGTCAAAGAAAAAATATTAAATATAAATGGATTTATTCTCCCTTAAAAATAATTAGTATTTTTCCCCATTGTTCCTCCTGAAATATAGGGCAACAATGCAGCCATATTGGTTTTCAGTAGACTGCATGGTAATCAGGTTTTGTAAGGTAATGTATGGAATAAATCAGGTCTAATACAGGGATAGGCAATCTTCAGCACTCCAGATGTTGTGGACTACATCCCCCATAATGCTCTTACACCCATAATGCTGCCAAAGCATCATGGGAGGTGTAGTCCAAAACATCTGGAGTGCCGAAGGTTGCCAATGCCTGGTCTAAAATATTGTTTCTTTTTATATGTGTATATATCATGTGAGCTTATTTGTAGTCTGAAAAAAAACAAAATGTCTGCTCCCAGCATCATTATTTCTATACACATGTATAAGAATAGTACATCTATATACATCAAAACTATTGGTGGCAGAAGCTGCTACACATTTTTAGATAGGTATCTAAAACCTGACTTTGTGTGATTAAAGTTCTAAGTGTGAAAAAACTGCTTAAGTTGTATTTGTTTTGCTGATCTCCCTTGTGCTTGAAACAATGTACCATATACAAAACTAAAGGTATATCTAAAAATGTACATAAGATTATGTTTAGGGTAATATATAATGTTATATGATTTATTTTTTTTCGTCATATTCAAACCGTATGAATTGTTACATTTTCAAAACAAATGCACTGCCAGATTGCACCAAAAACCATTGTAAGAAACTCCATTATACGTTAGCATTATTGGTCAATGCAAACCATCTTATAATGGGTTTTTATTTTGTATGCCAAGCAGCTTTAACCTGCAAAAAGTTGCAGTTCATGCTTCTTAGCAAAAAGTTACGGTACAAAATGGTTCCGTCACAAAATGGCTCCCTATGATATTTTCAATTTAGACCAATTTGTATAAAAACTTCGAGTGAGGATTTGTGCATCTTAACGAGCCCTCAAAGTGCCTGTTTTATAGTAGGCTATAAGGTAAATTAAAACAAAACCATTTCAGCCATCGTCAAACAGATTGGTCATTAATTACCAAAGTGTTTTTCAGCATGACCAAAATGAGAGAATTCACTCTCAATGGTTTTGAAATAATTCACATTACAATGTTTTGTGCTCAGACATTTCAAATATCAGCATATGAAGACTGCCATACAGGCATAGACCTGCACTTGGTAGACTATTTTGTCCTAAGACTATATTTAGTTTAATGTTTTTATATAATATTACCACTATACAAAAAGACTTTGTGCCTTAATAAAGGATTCATTTTAATAAATAAAAAATAATAAATGTATATATATATATATATTTCTGTTCTTTACTAGCCAGTATGCTGTAACTATTTTGAAATAATATGAAGAGGCGTTGTTCACGGGTGCTTTTGTAAGAACACTGAGAAACATGGACACACACGGGCATAAGTAACAAACACAAGATTAATTAAATCATTTCTTGAGTCAGCGTTTTGCTTAGGGCCTACACACAGGCATAGGACAGCATCTGGCACTCCTGTTACTATGGACTATACTTCCCATGGTGCTAAGCCAGACACGGAGCCAGAGTGCAAGCATATGCCTATCCCTATGTAAACAAATACTTATTTTTCTATTTGATAAAGAAGGTTCTAAGAGCAAATACTATGTGTTTGTTGTTTTTTTTTTTTTATAATTCTATAGCTAATATTACAGCTAAAAGTGTGAACACTTTGGAAGACAAGACATAAAAAGTTAACAGTGAATTGGTACATAACAGGTGTGATGGTGGCGCATGGCAGCTGTAGTCTAATCACTTGATACATGATTTTCATTTTGTAGAACATGCCAGCGTTCAATTTTCTTATCTTTGTTCTTCAGGCATTCATACCAGTGTTTCAAACGTTCGCCTTTGGCTGTGATGCCCAACTGACATCCACCTAAAGAAAAAATATATGCTTAGGCTAGGTAACAATGGAAATTGCGTCTCAGGATAGATAACAGTAATACGTTCATAAATTCATTAACTATACTCAAAGTAACCCAATTCATTACCTAAATCATGTATTTCATTTTTAGTTTAGTTATGCACTCTGTTTGCTGAGAATTCCAGCTAGAGTTTATTTTATCATTTTGATTTTACATGGTTTTGTGCAAAGGTTAATGGGTCAAGAGAAGACATCCAAACTAAATATTCGAAAAAGATGTTAATTAGATTGAGGGCTCCTATCAACAAACATTTTGTCTGGTATGACCTGATCCACTTATCATAGAACACTAAGATCATAGAACACACCGATCATAGAACACACCGATCATAGAACACACAGATAAAAATAGATGTGAGTTTTTATTTTATTTTTAAATAGCAATGATTTGCTTTCAAATACTATTTTACATTAATGTATATGTGCTTAAACATAAAACAAAGAAAATGCTCTACTCGCTACAGTCTCTAGATATTGTTTCATCCTCGCTTCTGTCAGCTTTAATACATTTTATTTGGGCTTAATGTCACCCCAGATTATTATCATACTCACTACTGTTAAGAGGTCGGATCTTTCCTCTACTAAAACGGAAAATTCCTTCCAATTACTACTTCTGATCTCCACTTTAGTTCCACAGACATTGTTATTTTCCCAATAACATGCCACAATCATTCCAGTCTTATCTCTTTCGAGAACATATCCACAATGTATCCCTGGATTCCATGGTTTACATAATTTGGAAACAACAGAGGGCAGTTACATACCTTTCAACTGATTATTAACAGAGGGCTTCTTTATCTCTTTGTCAGACCTCTACATAGACTTAGGTATGAATAAATGAAGCATTTTGTTCTATGCAAACCAAATTATTCTGGGGGACTAGAAGACTTACCCCTTGCATACCTAACTTCTTCAAAGGGTAAATTGATTTCTGCTCTGTATAAATTACTTCAAAAGGTTCATCTTTCTTTACTAAAGGATGGTCCATAATGGTAACTTATCTCTCTATAACCAGGAGTGAAACTAGATTTGATAATATTACAAAATATATGCCAAGATGATACTACACTCTTTCGGTTGTCTTCAGGTATTTTTGCACATGAAATGGTTCTGTCCCCCTCTTTTGATCTTCTGGGGTGAGAGAGCTCATAAGGCAGATTACTGGGTGCTCCATCCCTCTTAAACCTGAAAATAAAGTGTGAGTTTCCCATTTGGGATATGTCCAAATTGATTACTTTGCACACTACACTATGATGTTCTCTTACTTTTATATTATAGGAGATTTCTGTTCCTGTGTGTTTTATGAATGGGCAATTTTATTTGGTAACTTTAGCCACTGTGTTGTTCTCACTCTCATTCTTTTTATATTGATTATGTTTTAACCTTAAAATGCCAGCACAGTTTAACTTACCAATATAGTCATTCGATTTCCCAATGTCATAGTCCCATACTGATATATCCAGCTGTTTTTTAGCCAGATCGCTGTGTTTTATTTCATAGAAGAATTCCTTAGCAAAGAAAAAAAAAATAGTATCATTAAAACAATCAAACAAGTCCGTGTTGGAGTTTTGGTTAAACTATAGTTTTTCAGAGAGGAGTAAATGATGGTGCAACTATCTGACCTGGTGCAATTACCTTTTTCCACTGATATTTATATTCAGAAAAAAATTCTAAAGCATATATCATATTTTAGCTAAGTCCCCTGGTATAATCAAGGCCAAAGCACAGAAACATGTACAAGTCCAGCTTCAACAGCACCAGAAACCTTTAAAGGACCACTCTAGGCACCCAGACCACTTCAGCTTAATGAAGTGGTCTGGGTGCCTGGTCCAGCTAGGGTTAACCCATTTTTTAATAAACATAGCAGTTTCAGAGAAACTGCTATGTTTATTAATGGGTTAAGCCTTCCCCCTATTCCTCTAGTGGCTGTCTCATTGACAGCCACTAGAGGCGCTTGCGTGCTTCTCACTGTGATTTTCACAGTGAGAGCACGCCAGCGTCCATAGGAAAGCATTGTAAATGCTTTCCTATGAGACCGGCTGAATGCGCGCGCAGCTCTTGCCGCGCGTGCGCATTCAGCCGGCGGGGCGTAACGGAGGAGGAGAGGAGGCAGAGAACTCTCCGCCCAGCGCTGGAAAAAGGTAAGTTTTAACCCCTTTCCCCTTCCAGAGCCGGGCGGGAGGGGGTCCCTGAGGGTGGGGGCACCCTCAGGGCACTATAGTGCCAGGAAAACGAGTATGTTTTCCTGGCACTATAGTGGTCCTTTAAATGACTACTTTAAGGAAATATTATCCATCCTATGCTGCTTAGCCCAACACTCCTAGTCCATCATTGTCTTGGAAGGTTAGAAAGCATTATATGGAGAGTCATAGGTGGGCTTCAGAGCTTTGGGAGCCTGCAGATCCCTAGGTTGTTTTCAAACCACTCGAAAATATTTTTGTTGGCAAAAATAAGAAATACATTAGGGGCTTTACCCATAGACTCTGTCATAGAGGCAATAAAGTAAGCTGTAGTGGTTATGACATCTAGCGTCCTCTTAAGTATCATACATGGATGTTTAAGCAAATATAATAAAGAAATGCAAAAGTGTGACTTGTGCACTATTCCAAATCATATTGTAATTATAAAATATGGAAATAATAAATGTGTTTTTCCTAGTATAGTTATAGGATCATATTAAATAATAAATGCAATTGATTATTTAGAACAATTATGATCTGCAAACTGAAACTTAACTAAATGAATAATTAAATATTGCACTACAAATAGAATATTTCTACAGCAATCATAAATATTAGCAATCATAAATATTTTCCGAATAATATCACTCCAACACACTATAAACTTACTTGTGATTCTGCATTACATGTAATAATGACATACAGGTTTTATTAGCAAATTAAATCTGAATAGCAAAATGAGGGATAAAATATCCAACCTGTGACCAGAGCCAGTTTGGAGGAGATGATTATATCCATAGCAGCTAGGTTTACCTAATTTGGGCAATTCAGATTTATTTTTGCTAACATTTTCAATTCAGTAATAGAATGCAGGAATACCTCGTTAAATTCTGGATTTAGAGTTTTTTTCTTAATTTGGGTCTTGAATTTTGACTTCTTGCCAACATCTGGTTTTAGCCACCTGGCAAATACATACATAAATGAAAAGTAACAGTTGGTTTGAGCTCCTCATTCTTCATATAATTATTTCTGTTTTATACATATATAAATAACTACAGTCTGAATAATGTTCTAGTACATTGGGTGTCTATCTTTTGCAAAGGTTTATGCCCTATGATCCAAGTGTAAAGAGTGCAAAAAAAAAATAGCACTGTTCAGGAATCATTGGACTAGGGTGTTTGGACAACTTAGCCCATCAATACCCTTAATTCCATGGGTCAGATGTTCGAAAAGAAGGAAGGAGTCATTAATTGAGCCCCTATCAAGTTTAAATTACCATTCACACAATGCAGAAAAAAACAATACTCACAGTTTAACAAATGGATCAGAGTAGCCATTAGCATCCATAGCTGCCAAATGAACGCAGCGTACAACTCCAATTATCAGACCTCCCTGCTGAGTGCTGTACATCAGAGATACAAGAATCTTTCCCCGGTCTTCTACATCACCTCCCCGGTCTGTCTGCAGAAGGGGAGAAATGACTTGTGAAATTAAAAAAATATATGTGCTCTCTGGGTTTAACCCAGAGTTGCCATTTATAGTATTTAAATGTTTCCCAAAACCCTAACCAGAGTAGAGTTTCGTCCATCCTGATGAGATGTCATACATTTATCTCTGGTCATTTGCTTGCCATGTTCTACCCACTTTTGTTGAATAGAAGATCCCAACATCATAATTGCAAAAATATAAAATACTGAGAGCATTTCAGAAACATTATAGGAATTGTTTTGTTTTTTGCTGTTCCTAGCATAGGCGTGAGTAGCCTATTGTATAAGGGTGTGCACCCTAAAGCAGAAACACACACGCCGCATATATATATATATATATATATATATATATATACATACACACACACATATATACATACATACACATACACATACATACACCCACACACACTGCTGTGTGTGTGAGGGTGCTGTGTGTAGGTGATGTGTGTGTGTGAAGGCGCTGTGTGTGTGCAGGCGCTGTGTGTATGCAGGCGCTGTGTGTGTGTGGGCGCTGTGTGTGTGGGCGCGCTGTGTGTGTGTGAAGGCGCTGTGTGTGAAGGCGCTGTGTGTGTAAGGGTGCTGTTAGTGTGTGTGTATGTGTAAGGGTGCTGTTAATGTGTGTGTGTGAGGGTGCTGTGTGTGTAAGGGTGCGGTTAGAGTGTGCTTTGTGGGTGAGGGTGCTGTGTGTGTGTAAGGGTGATGTTAGTGTGTGTATGTGTAAGGGTGCTGTTAGTGTGTGCTGTGTGTGTGTAAGGGTGCTTTGTGTCAGGGTGCTGTTAGTGTGTGCTGTGTGAGGGTGCTGTGTGTGTAAGGGTGTTGTAAGTGTGAGGGTGCTGTTAGAGTGTGTGTGTGTGTAAGGATGTTGTTAGTGTGAGAGTGCTGTTAGTCTGTGTGTAAGGGTGTTGTTAGTGTGTGCTGTGTGTGTGTGAGGGTGCTGTGTGTGTGAGGGTGCTGTGTGTAAGGGTGCTGTTAGTATGTGTATGTGTAGGCACTGTGTGTGTAAGGGTGCTGTTAGTGTGTGCTGTGTGTGTGTATGTGTGTATGTGTGAGGGTGCTGTGTGAGTAAGGGTGTTGTTAGTGTGAGGGTGTGCCGGGCATGCCTAGGCACACTCTAATCCCCGCGGCACTCGCTATGTGCCTCCTCAAAGATCTCCCTCACCAACCCACAGGCAGGGAGGGAGGCAGAAGAGGACCCGGGGAGCTCTTGTCAGCAGTTCCGCCGGGTTCCTCTCGCACGGTCAGAGCGTTGCTGCGGTTACCGCGGCAACTGTCAGATCTCGCGGGAGTGAACTCTAGCCCCACAGGGGGCTAGAGTTCACTCTCCAGTGGACCACCAGGGAAGGTAGGAGCACGGTCCCCCCTCCCTACATAAGGTAAGAAGGGAGGGGGGATATTAACTAAATGGCCCAGACACATTACACACAAACATACAGCACCCACACATACATCACCCTTACACACACAGCACACACACACACACACTAAGAGCACCCTCACACTAACAACACCCTTACACACACAGCCCCCTCACACATACACACACACAGCACACACTAAAAGCACCCTTACACACACAGCACCCTTACACATGCACACACTAACAGCACCCTTACACACACACACACACTAACAACACCCTTACACACACACACACACTAACAGCACCCTCACACTAACAACACCCTTACACACACAGCACCCTCACATACACACACTAACAGCCCCCTTACACACAGCACTCTCACACACACAGCACACACTAGCAGCACCCTTACAAACACAGCACCCTTACACATACACACACTAACATCACCCTCACACACACAGCACCCTTACACACATACACAAAGCACACACTAACAGCACCCTTACACACACAGCGCCCACACACACACACACACACTAAGAGCACCCTTACACGTACACACACACAGCACACACTAACAGCACCCTTACACACACAGCACCTTCACACACAGCACGCCCGCACACACACACAGCTCCTTCACACACAGCACCTTCACACACACAGCACCTACACACAGCACCCTCACACACACAGCAGTGTGTGTGTGTGTGTGTATGTGTGTGTATATATGTGTATATATGTGTATATATATATATATATATATATAAATATTTATATATATACGCGGCATGTGTGTTTCTGCTTTAGGGTCCACACCCTTATACAATAGGCGGCGCACGCCTATGATTAGGATGAGTGATTCTCTAGTTCCCAGGGATTATTCTACAGCACCGAGCAACTCCTAAGGCAGCGCTTATCCAAAAAACCTACAAACTCCTCATCTGACAAATTTTATATTAATATACACAGTTATGATGCTAGGAATTGACCAATACAATTTAAATAGAGATATTTAAAAAAAATTAACATGAAACTAAATTACCCCCTGAAAGAGAAAGTTGGCATTATAATGTGCTGCAAAATTAGGATAAGTATTGGTTTCTTAATCCTTTTCTGTTGTGTAATGCAGAGGACCCTCTTTCATCCAGTTAAGTGTTACACATATTTAAAATATTAAATGTTACATTTTTAAAGGTTATATATATTTAAACCAATTTCTCAAGAGGCAACAATTTAGCTTTTTTTTGTAAACAATAAAATGGTCTAGGGCAGAGATAGGCAATCTTCGGCACTCCAGATGTTGTGGACTACATCTCCCATGATACTTTGCTAGCATTATGGCTCCTGATCTAGGGAATGCATTGTCCACAATTTATAAATTAACCAATGATAAATACTGTATCTTAAAGGGCATTATAGGTACCATAACCACTACAGTGGGCAGTAGTGGTTTTGATGTCAGGAGTCCCCAGGCGCCTTAATGTGGTAATCTGTCAAACTATTTAGGAGCAGTTTGAAACTTAACTTGTGGTGTCTGGGTTCTTCCAGGCTAAGTTGCTCTAAGGTTCAAACAGTCTTCATTGGCTGAAAGTGTCAGCTGATGGCTCTCAGCCAATGAATAATGTCCAAAAAAGGTAAAAGTCAGAATGATAATGTGGAAGTATAAACATATGCCTTGTCAGACCAGCTCGGACTATAATGACCACAGCTGCTCTACACAGCAAGGCATGAATCAAACGGTTCAAACACATAGTGCTTTGTAGTAGTTATGGTGCCTAGATTTTCCTTTCAAGGCATTAATACAATTAAGTTAGATAAACTACTCACTCTTTTTGCTTGTTAGTCTATCTGCAAAATGGTAATCTAAAGGGGGAAAAAATGATGGTAGGGAAACGAGTGAAATACAAGGTATCACACTTGTTTCTTGAGAATTATCCAAAGCTACAGGGGAAGAGATTCACTAAACTCCAAATTATTACAAATTTAAACCTGAATGGAAAATAAATATGGAACAGCATCTGATATGAAAGAATACTTAAACTCCACTATAGTTACAGCATGGTCACTTGGCTTTCCATCTGATATAATTCAGAGTTAAGTGACCAGCTCTTATTGCGTTATTTCAAGTCAATCTGCACAACACGTCTCAAAGAGCTGACTAAACGAAGTATCTGTGTGTATACTTTGTAAAATGATATCTGACCTCAAGAGCCCATGCATATTGAGTTGGGAGAATGTAACAATGAGCCTAACTAATTGCATATGCAAAGAAGCTCTGATTGACTACATACTCTGCAATCACCAAAACGATAAATACTACAGATGGTATTCAAAATGACAGCAGGTGCTGCAATCACAAGGTGTTGGGAATGCGAATGAAGAATATAACTGATTGCTCAAAATACATAGATTTGCACCATATTGTGTGTCAGACAGATTCTAAAATCTGTAGAGTGTCAGTTATCAAGCATTTTGATTTATTTTCCACTGTAGTACTTGCTGATTCCCTTTTGTTGCTTCTTGAGTTTTCAAAGCTGTGGAAACGTGTGTGAACCTTGTTTTCATTACATTGACCTATTTGATATATGGTCAACTGCAGTATACAGCTATCAATCAATCATTTGCACACATAGGTAAACACTGTAAAGTTATTCATTCAAATTTCAGCAAGTACTAAATGGTCCGCTTCTCTTAGCCAAGACTACAGTATATTTTAAATAAAACATTTTTTAATAATGCATTTCAAATCATTAGGCCCTATACCGTATGATCTAAGATTGATGAGAGACTTCAACAGAACAAGCTATAGTATTGGTCTCCCTAACCTCTCTAAAGTGTACTTTTCAGGCAATGTGATGTATTAATTTAGATTGTAATCCAATGTATTTGTAAGAGTTCTCAATTATACATAACCATATTGAACAACTCTCTAACTGCCAGAATAACTATGCACTAAGACCAATACCTGTGGATTGATTCATGAAAAGTGAGTTGCACTGCGGTGGTAAAATTTAGGTCAAAATATCTAAGGTGGAAAAAAACAAGCACATAGCTGGATTGTTTTGGAGAGTTAGGAATCACTCTGCACTTTTGTGCCAAGAAACCCCCTGCAAACGTAACTTAGGCAGCATGAAACTCTGTTCCAGACTGCCTGAAGTTAATTGTTTGCAAATATCATGTCTAATTTTACAGGCGTAATTAGCTTCTTCTAACAGTATTACTCAGTTCATCTTGCTCCGTCCACAATGTCCTGTCTCACTCCAATTCTGCCTCCCTACATCAAATTGCATGTATCCCTTCCACATTACTTTCCCTCCCTTTGTCCACCCCACGGTCCACTCATTTGACATCCCACACTACCTCCTTCCCCTACCGAGCTAAAATAGTCGCATTACCAGCACTCACTCATACAAAAGGTCCATCAATGCTTCTTTGTGAGAAGTGTTTGATTGGACCGCTACCCAAAAGTCCATGCAGTAGCACTGATGACATAGAACAGATTATTCGGGGGACAAATAAAGATACCATTTAACTCAAAGAAATAGTTGTAATGGAAAGAATAAAATTACGGTGGAGTAATCCTTTAGAAAGCAAGTTAACTTTCCACAGAATTTCTAGAAGTAAAAATGGTGAATTATATATGTTAATAAGCTCCTCACTCATATACACAATTTAAGCACCCACAGCTTAAGTGACCAAGGTGCTAAAATTTTTGAAAAGGAGAAGGGGCATATGTAGGAAAGATTATTTATTATTTATTTATAAAATATTTTACTAGGAAAGATCTTGGGTTGTAAATGAGTGGGAGGTGGAAAGGGCCAGCATTACAAATGTCTAAATCTTCAGAGTAGAACATTCATAGAGTGAGTGCTTGCCAGGAAATGCTCTGGAGGGAGCACCTATCATAATTTCTGCATTCCAAGTTCTAGGAACTAAAATTCTAGGAACAGTGTTTTGCTAGTGATTGCTAGTGATCCCTGTGAAGAAACCCCCCTGTTCCCTATGTTATGTACTATTTGCATTCCCTTTTTATCCTCTTTTGCTGCCTATTTCATTCGGTAGATGGAACTACCGAACAAGGACCACCCTCTGGCTCATTAAACATCAAAGGTTTAGGTGAAATTGCTACGTCTGTCTGTGCGGCCAGCGTTCGTTAGTCGAACGCCATGTGGCAGAGAAAACCACGGCCATCTTTGTTCATGCGAACAAAGGCAGCAGGACCTGGTCGTCGAGTGAATGGAACTGTTTTGCGGACACTCGACCTCCGAACACCGGTCCCAAACAGACGAACGCTGGAACTCTATTTACCGAATAGCTAGAAGAGCGCTATTCGGTACTTTGGTGCATTCGACAGAGGGGCACGAACGCTGCTAGGAGCCAGAGGGATCCGTTCGGTATTTTTATTCGTTTTTATGTGTTTTCGAAAGTGACCGGCAAAACCCACCAAATTCGTGGAACTGTTTTGGGCATGCGTAGAAAAAAGAGATAGGAACAAGAGTAAAAAGTATGTCGGGTTGCTAATGAGACATGGGGGGTAACCCCTAGTGGTTATTATGAGACAAAAAAGAGAGAAAGAACAAAAACAGAGAAACCCTAGGGTTAAGATAAATCAATCCCAAAAGGGGTCCCAGTATTTGCAGTGCAACCCACAGAAAGGTAATTAAAAAATAACTTTTAATAAATTCCTTCTAAAAAATCATCAATACTTAAATGAATATGTAATGACTGTCCCTCAAAAAATAATACATACAATAAAAAACAGGGGGAGGAAGGAGAATGAAAATAAAACAAATCACTAGGTTATTAACAGAGACAGAAAAAGAAAAAAAGAAAGGGGGTTACCTAAAGTGTCTTCAAGACAATCATGTCTATAGTAACAAGAAAAAGGAAAGTCTTAAATCTGTCTCACAGAGAAGCCCTAGTGTAAACAATATTAACTCCTAACTCCCACAACTCTGGGGCAAAAGTAACCTGCCTACATCGGTCTGAGAATAACTTCAATAGAAGGTAAAGTAACCTGCCTATATCGATCTATGGTAAACCTCAATAGAAGGTTCACAGAGGTTAAGGTCTAGTAATAAACGAAAGGAGAGGGTAGTGAAGAGAATATATCCTGAATCATCTCAACTAGCTGCAGCATAATCCCCAAATCAAAACTCCAACCACCCGCTTTCTAACTACTCCCGACGCGCGTTTCGCCACTAAAGGCTCTTCCAGGGGAACCGAGCAACACGCCGGCCGTCATTTAAATAGCCCGCCCTCCTCTTGGATTGGTCAATGTCCGGACCAATCACAAATGTGGGGGCGGAGTCAGATGCCGAAGCCGGTTACCCCGCGATCGCAGGGGAAACCGGCACGGAAAATAAATAGAAAGAGAAGAATCAATATAAAATATAAATATTATTGAATGGACTAATTGGAGTAGATAATAATGTAAAACAAGTACCTGCTTAATAAGTAGGCGTGAGGTAAGGATATACATCATTCCTAAGCAGTGGTCACGTATCAAAACTAAGTGATAGCAATACATGTTTGAAAAATTGTAAGGCAAAAAATTAAATATGTGAAGATGGCTCATTGGAGCTAAAGTTCATAATAGAATCAAGCTTATAAATGTATAATGGAATTATGAAGCAAGAAAAAATAATAATATTAAAAAATTAAAGAATTGGATATGTGGGAATAGCTCTTAAAGCTTGAATGTATAATAAAGGCAAGCTAAAGAAAATTGATCCTCAATACTGGAAAATAAATAATGTCAAAGTAATACTGGTCAATTAAATTCCCCAGTAGTAAAAAGAGTAATGGGAGAACATAATCCACCACATAAATAAATAAAGAATGTTCATAAAAGTTAGAAAGTGACAACTCAGGATGTACTAGTATCACTACATTCACAGTGTATAAATTGAAAAAGAATTGTCGACAACAGAATAATTAAGTGAACACTTATGTATAACACACTGAATCACTAGTAGAAATCAGCTTCAAGATAATTAAAAAGACAAGACCAATATCAGACAGGTTCAATATATTGCTCAATTATAAATACCAAAAGCCACTTGTGAATACTTAGGAATCATGAACAGTTTTGTGTATAATGGAAGAAAAAGTACAATGAGACTTAATAACGTTAAGTGTTAAGTAACGTGTTTTGGGCATACAGCCCAGGGTAAGCCAGTCACACAAGACTTCCATAACATTTGCGAACCCCTGAACCGATCTGGGTGAAATTCGAATATGTTGGTCACCCAGATCAGGGCTATCAGGGGACACATAATTTATGGGGATACTCCCAGTATAAAGGGGTGTTCTGAAAGTTGGGGGAAAAGTGATTTTTCAGCCCGGAGATAATTAAGTTACTATTTTATCAGACTAAAATCTCCTCGGCTAGGGAAGGGAATTGTGGGTGTATGTTAACATTTTACTGTTTGTGATTGGTTACTGTTTGTCCCTCCCTGAGGGCTGTCCCCTTGCATGGGGACTTGCATAAAAGCTGTGTGCACCCATTAAAGGACAGTTCATTTTGTACCCTTCCTCTTGACTTCGGCTGATGTTTGGGGATTCGTGTCTGGTGAGACTATTGGAATTGCTATAGGATTCGTCTACCCTAACTGCCGAACGGAGGGCTATAATCACTAAGGCTCTGGCGATTCGGGAGGAAACTACCGAAGGAGGTTTAAATATACTTGGTTTCCTTACAATCCCTCAAGCTGTTCAGTTCATGGAATGACAAACTTAAGAATGAAAATAATAATAATACTAAAGATCTAGAAAACATGTTCCAATTTCTCTGTCCCATTTATAAAGCAGGTTTACAAAAATAAAAAATTAAATGACGCAAGGAAGAGGTTTGACACATGCTGGAAATATTTAATCAGCACCAAAGTAAGGACATGCACAGAGAACTTTGGTATTAAATTGCTCAAAATTAAATATCACATTTTTTTATTCTCCATATATTATTTTCTGTTTGACACATAATTCTAGTTGGAAGAGGGAGCTGTGCTTATTGTGATTTAACACAGAAGCAAATGACAACACATGCTAAATGTGTAATGCGGTTTAAAAGAATTCAGGTCACCCCTTACATACAAGCACATATCATTTGAAAAACTGCAAAGGCTTTCACAATGCACACCATTTGCAATTCCCTTAACAACTTAATGGTAATGTACCCATTTAGTACACAAGAGGGAGCTATGAAACCAGGTTCTCTGGTCTCTGATTTAATGATTAGCCTCCAGCACAGAAATGCAGGACAGAGCTGTCTAAACGAATCTTGGAGGATTGAATAACACAGGTCTTTGGGGAGCAGCTCAAGACGTGTGGGCTTAAGACGCCTGCAGATAGAACCGGAGTTGTTAGAATCCTCATTGTTATGTAATGCTGATGGTTTAAGCTGATCAGAATTTTCTTATGATTATTTAACCAGTTTGGTGAAATAAGGGGGCATCAATAGAAAGCCATGTGCAATGCTGTTTATCTTTCTATCGTTAAACAGTAATTAAACTGGAAGTGATATCCAATAGTGCCCCAGAAAGCGAGAATATTCCTCCCATGTTTGCCAAGTGCCTTGAATTTGGTAGAAGGCCCTCTTCCACTCTCCTAGGTTTTCTCTTGTGTTCCCTTAAACATGGTGCCATACCGTAGCACAGCGCAGTGTGTTCAAGTAGGCAGCGCAGGGAAAATCTGATAGGTACCTGTCTGCTAGAAACATTTACTCTCAATACAAATGGGCATTTAATTATTTTTATTCATTTTTTAAATATACCATACGTTTTTTTTTTGTTTCGTTTTTTTTGGTATGCTACAATAACATGTATCTAGATTAAAGGACCATTATAGGCACCCAGACCACTTCAGCTTAATGAAGTGGTCTGAGTGCCAGGTCCAGCTAGGATTAACCCTTTCTTCTATAAACATAGCAGTTTCAGAGAAACTGCTAAATTTATAATAGGGTTAATCCAGCCTCTAGTGGCTGTCTCATTGACAGCCGCTAGAGGCGCTTCCGCGCTTCTCACTGTGATTTTCACAGTGAGAAGACGCCAGCGTCCATAGGAAAGAATTGAGAATGCCGCGCATGCCCATTCAATATTGTAAAGCGCTACGGAATCTGTTGGCGCTATATAAATGATAATAATAATAATAATAATAACCAATGACAACGAGAAAGAGGAGGAGAGGAGGAGGAGAGTCCCCCGTCCGGTGCTGGAAAAAGAGATAAATTTAACCCCGTCCACCCCCTAGAGCCCGGCGGGAGGGGACCCTGAGGGTGGGGGGGACCTAGAGACCCTATAGAGCCAGGAACACTAGTATGTATCCTTTAAGATGTACCTGTAATGTAAACTCATGTGTTCAAAGATGTATTCATCTGATTTGTAAATAACAATTAATTATTTAAAGAGGAATGGTCACTTCCAGAGCAGTTACTGTTCTTTGTTCCTTCACCCCAGTAAACACTATTGCAGCAATTACCAAAGTGAATAATGCAATAGAGGTAAGAAAAAAAAAGCAACATTGCTATCCCATGATGCCTCAGGCACTCACATGTGTGTTCAGGAATCTAATGGAAAAATGCTGTACGCGCATATGCCATGCATACAGCGCCGCAAGATTTTACTTAGTAAACAACTTATCTTTACAGTATTTCTGTGTTTAGGGCAACGTCACCTCCCCATAATGCTACAGTCATGCTTAGTAAATGCACAGAAACAACACTTAAACAAATACAAACTCATGCATTCTTTTCATAATGCCATATGTATGCAAACACTAGCCCACACGGCAACGTGCAAGCTCCATTTTGTCAGCTAGGCATACAATATGAATTAAAAAACAGTTGAGAATTTTAAAATAAAAATGTACAATTATAGCTCTACAGAAGTTACACTAACAGCAATAGATATGACATGAAAAACAGAGTAGGGTTTTGATTAATTCTCTATGAAATAGAATTCAGGTTGTATATAAATCTCACATGTGACAGTTGTGCTGTAAATTGTTTTTTTCATTCATACATGAATGAGCATATCCTTGAAAGCAAATGACTTACTTCATCCTCGTATAAAGCCATGCCACGCACTGATCCTGTAGTGCCAGCTCGCTTCATCTATAAGTAAAGAGATAGTGGGTTTCAGAATAAAGGTGACTCAGTGGAGAGCAATAAAAGCACAATCCAAATATTTTAGTTTCCTTCTGAAACATACCGGGATCACGCGCTCCAAGCACACATTAAAGTTCTTTTTCAGATTGGGTTTCAGTTTCTTCAAAGAGAATCGAGTCTCGCCAATGAATTCATTATGGCCAAACTTGTCCTCATCGCACACAGAGATCCTGAAAGTATGCTTGTGGTTAGTTTATAACTTAAAGAAAAGCACTATATGAAACTAAATTATATAAATATATAAACATACATACAACAAACACACTGATATACACCACCCAAGGGATGGATGGATACATGGATGGAGAGAGAGAAAGAGAGAGAGCTAAAGAACTAAGCTCAGCACTTCCAGCCTTCATTGATACAGGGAGTGGTACCAAGCGGACCATTAGTAAATGGTTTGAGTACCTACATTGTGGGGCAATGTACATTACAACCAGTAATAAGAGATTATTATAAGTCATGTAAGCCACTAAGAATTTTGCTTGAGATAGAGTCAGGAAGCTATAAATGTTATCACTGTAGAACCTTAAGCTAATAATTTTACCAAGCCATTAGTGCAATATGATAAACTAAGTCCATGTGCAACATTAGAAAAATGCACATCAATGTGCATCTCCTGCTAAAAAATGTTTGAGTTGAAAGTTTTGGATTGTAACTTATCAATGAAGATCTTGCCTCAGTGTTTTCCTCTGCAATTCTTCATCTGTTATTCCGTGATACACAAGAGTTTCATTCCACATAGGATTACGAGTGTTTCGAAGAGTTTTTGTGCGCAATTTGTTTGCCTGAAAACAGAAAGCATCCAAAAGATGAAAAATCTCTAATTTTACAACCACCTAAAACCTTGAAATGTCCAGAAGAACCTAGTTATTGAAGTGGATATGTACACGCATAGCTACCGCTTGTCCTAATTGTATTTGGAAATGTAAGTATGAAATATATCCCGTAATCATTGCCGTTTCTTTTAAATAGTGTCATCACACAATTTGGAACCAATTAATCACCATGTGCCAAAGATGTTATCAAACCATCTCAGTGCCCAATCATTTCTACATGCAATTGGATCACAAAAATAAGTAAATAAATGAATGAATACTTGTAAATCTATTCTCATACGCTTACTTATTGTTTTTACGAAAATATTAATGGCTAACCTGGAAAAGGGAGATATGGAAGTTATATTTACTGTGATTCTTGGAAAGGTGACAAACATTTTGGGAAATATAGATCACAAACAAGCACACTTTCAAGGTTTACTATGTGTGCCAAGCAGTAACAACTGCCAAGTCATGATTCCAGCAACTAAGAAAGTATATTAGGAAAGACTTTTGTTTTGTTAGGGTGGCATCTTTCCAATTCTATAGCCTTAATTCACCTCAGTAGTTTAGAAACATTAAAATAATTTTTCTGGGGAAAACGTCAAATTATGGGGAAAAACAGGTGTATCATTGGTAGCTGTTTGGAGAAGCTTTCTTGAGAACATTTAGGCATGTCAAAAAATTGGGTTGGTTTGAAATCTACCCTGTTTCAGCAGGTTTTGAACATGCTTAGTGACCTTTAAGTAGGAATGTACAGAATTTCCATTGCATTGTCATTTGGGCAGCAGAGACAGCTGCACATAAGTGAAGGCATGCTATTGGCCTCTCTATTCTGGGTCCATCATTGGCTCAAGGCACCAGAGGGTGGGTTTTTAGTGCCCACAAAAGAGAGAGAAGCAAGAAGACATCTTGGAAGCAGCACAAAGGGAGTGTGCAGCAGCTCCTGGCACAAGCCAAATGTAAGTGTATAATATGATGTAAAGCGCTGCGGAATTTGAATATAAATATCATAATAATAATAATAATGATCTCTTCTCTCTCCCCCAATAGCTCCAGTGACTGATTAAACTAGGAAACTTAATCAAATATATAATTTATATATATATATATATATATATATATATATATATATAAAGCTAGGGATAAAAAGGGGAGGGGGACATTTCTGCCCCAAAGCTCTGTGCTACCTGTCAATAATAGTTTTAATAACCCCTGCTGACATACCCACCATCTTCTTTAAAGTGCTCAATCACTCTACAGCTGAGACCTGAGTCACAGTTGGCTAGTTGAATTATGACGATTCAAACTGCAGGACTGGGGCTGTGACTTTGAGGACGGACTGATTCTGATTTCAGTCTGCTTTATCTGTAATGTATGTTAATTCTATTAACCATGTCAGCTACTTCTTGGATCCACATCACCACTGCAGATTAATTATATTGCCAGCTGCAAAGGTAATGAGTCTGTGTACACTGTGTGCTTAAAGCTAATAGTGATTCAGGAGTAGCTGACATGGAAGGGTCTATCAGTATCCTGTTGCTTTAACCATGTGCACACTGTGTGCTGAGAGATAATGAAGTAGCTGACATGTTTCATAACACCAGCAATATTTACTAGACTGGTTTTAATATATTGTGCTAGATTTACTATGTATGTTGTGTCCTGCATGTTTTATTGTATGCTCATTCATGTAGTATGTTCCGCTTTCTACCTTGTATGAGTATCTCTATACTGTATAGGGAGTAGTAGAATTCTGGGAGAGAAGTCTGGCTCCCCACCATCATAAAATTTCACCAGCTGCCACTGGATCCAAAGTATCCCTTTAACATTTGCTGAATGTGGGCATAAGTGTGCATTTTTCACAAATGTTTGGTTTATAAATTCCTGGTCTGGTTTTTATGGCGCTAGGCTATAGAGTTAGAACAATTTAGAAGCAGTGTAGACTTTACCTTACTGGCTCCTGGCAATAGATGAAGCTTCACATATGGATCTGCTAAACCATTAGAGTCCATAGGTTTGAGGCCCTAAAAAATAAACAAACACAGTGTATGATTGTTACACAATTCTGCCAGTTAAACAGTGTAGTGGACCCAGGGTTATCTGACTGGTTACCTCCGCTAATTTCCTTCCTTCAGCCGGTCAGGAACCATGTAAAGGACAAATAGACCCATTTCCCCCCAGTAACTAGACACACTGTCCTGGAGGGACAACACAATTGTTTTGGCCACACACAGCTTTTATGCATGACCCCCTGCAAGGGATGGATCACACAAAACATACAAGGTCCCCTTCCAGGATCCTCCCCTCTGTGGGTCCCTAGTGCGGGAACAGAGTCTTTTCCCTTTGTCCCCAAAGCCCGCAACTAAAGTCACAGGGTTTCCCACACCTTCTTCCCAAGAGCTTCTGTGCTTGGAAGTCTTGGCGCGGGAAAAAGGCACCATACCTTTGTCTCCCAGGCACAGAAAAGCCCGTCCGCGGGAAAAGAGCTGGTCTCTTTGTCCCTCAGGCTCATGAGAGCCCACCAAACTCGCCAGTGCCCCAAAAGTGCCAATACCAAACTCAGGGACCCTCGCCTTGGTACATTGACCAACTAATCTCTGTTTGCGAGGTCCTGGGGTGAAACCCAGACAAGGGAAGTGACTCCTTTCGGGGTATGAATGCTCCCCCGGCCGCCGTTCGTCTATACGAACAACGGCCACCCAGGGAAGCACTCATTAATTTCTTCCCTTGCGGTTTCACACCTATGTGTCGAGTGCAAACATTCTGATTAATTGATGTGAACGTTCTAATGGAGCACCAAGCAGGCCCTCGTTCGTGAGTCGAACAAGTCGGGAAACAATCCACGAATGCTCCCCCTGGTGGTGTTCGTCTGTACGAATGGTAGCCATCCAGGGAAGCACTCATTAATTGTTTCCCTTTACGGTTTGACATCTATGTTGCGAGGTGTGAACATTCCATCCTAACGTTCTAAATGAGGGATTGGGGTGGTCCTCATTCAGGAAGTGAATGGATTCCCTTTGTAGAAGACCTCACAAATGGGAAGCGGGCACAATAAACAAAAGAATTGGGAAAACACAAACAATGTAAAGAAAGGCAATTCACGGACAGGCACTGGGTCCGCCACAAACAGTACAATTTAAAATTTGTTAGTATGTTTACAGACACACAAACAAGTTTCAATGGGGTTAATGACAAAGTCTGAACCACTGGTGAGCCTTGATGATTAAATACCTTGCCATATTAGAATGTATAATATTGGGATGGGTGGGCAGTAGAAATGGGTATTGTTAGTGACATGACTCACCCCCTTTCAGGCCCTGTCACCTGTTGTGATCTCAAAGCTCCTAATGTGTACTGAAGCACTCTCTGCAGGCTCCTAGTGACAAGCGTGAGCACATCTAATTATGTGCTGAAGCTGCCCACACACAGTTTCATGGTGTCCTTGGAAATGAGACACTGGATAACAAAATCATGATTGAGAGACAGGGCCGAAACCAGGACTGTGCCATCAGTATAGGGACTCTTGGGGGGCCTGTGTCTGAAGAAACAGATTTGCTCCATTGACAACATATGTAATTACCTCTATACACTTTCTTGGGAGTTTTAGATCACATGCCAATGTACAACTTAACCTGGCAAGTACAGGTGGCTACTTACCTTTGCCTTGATAATTGTACAATGCAGAGAACTATTGCCTTGATCAAATAAAAGACTGAACTCCAAAGCTCCAAGCGTAGCTGTGAAACAATCAAACAATGTATTCATTCACTCACAGATCTCACTAATTTTGAGAAAAAGGTAAATAAAGAGACTTGAACATAATTCTGTTAATGAGGCATGGCATTGCTGAATTACTCTATACAGGGTTTTGGAAAGCTCTGTTCTTTTTGACACAAATAATATTGAGCATTGCAGTGTGTTACTATCTCAGTGGTTCGAAAATAAACAATAGCGTTCTCTCTGTGACAAGAAATGCAGCCAACACGTTTACGGACCATTAACAAACAGTTTGTCATCTGCTATAACTGTTCAGGAAAAGAAACAAAATCAATGAAGCATCTCAACTAGAGCAGCCAAGAGAAGGTGAACGTCCCCTATCTTCAAAAGCAAATCACTCAGCTTCCCAGATTAGTCCAACACAATCATTGTTTTTTCCCCCCTTTGTTTTCATTTGTAACAATCACTGAGAATACAATCCCATCAGCACGCATTGTCATAGAAACCTGCAATTAGGAATGGTATCATAGAAATACAAAGTAGGGTTATTTACTAAAGTTAGAATTGTCAAGAATTCAAGCAAAATTCTAAGTAAATTTCAAATTTAAGGTCAAAGTAATCTAACCAGAAGCATAGCTGACTTTGAGAATTATCAGAAATTTAAAGTAAAATACTCTTTCTTCTGAACAACCATGAAATGAGATGCACAGTCAGGTTAATTCGCTTAACTGTTAATAGTTTGGAATTCACTAGGAATTTATAAATTAAATTTATTGTATTTAATATAGCTGGGCTCGGAACATAGCAGTCTTGGTTAATTATTCCAATCCCGAATTCATCCAGTTTGGCCTAAAATGTGCAAATACCTCGTGAAATCATGACGATTCACATTAAAGTGAATAACCCTCCATGTAGTATAAAATGAATCCAAAACTCACAGGCATTTCCATTATCCAGCCAAGACCTTAATTTATTTCCAGCCAATCACATTTAAATTGTCTTTAAAAATGCCTATGTGGCCAATATATAAGTACAGAGAAGGTTTTAAATCTCCTTTATACACCCGTATACATGTTGTGGGTGGGCATGTCTACTAAACAGTGAGCAGCCAGTGGCTGCTCTCCGTTATATAAAAAAAAGTCTCTATTAAAATACCTATCAGAGGTCCCTCCTATGCCCCCACATGAGTAGAGGACACTTGATTTACAGCCCCTGGGAAGAGGCGGTAAATTTAGATTACTGTCCACCCACCTTCAATGACCCATGGCCAATGGTTGGGGAGTATACAATAAAAAAAGCAAATGGACATCCTAGTGTCCAGCTCTGCCCATACTTGTGGTTAGCTGGTGCATGCAATAATTAAATTATTAGGTGTAAAGAGAGGCTATTAATGTAAAAGAAGTGGGGCCACAGCTCCTACCCATTGTCAGTGATTTGGGGCTAATTTATAACCACCCCCATTTATTCTAATTATAGCCCTCACCTCCTGACTGTTCACTATTTAGTAGACAAGACCCCCTGAATGGGATAGCAAGTGGAGGCATAAGGAAGATATACAAAAAAAGTTACAATATCTTTTTTGAATCTATTTAATAAAGGGTTAATCATTAATCAAGGTCAAGTTATAAATTGAGCAGACAACCCATTTATTCAAAGGAAAAAAAAAAGAAAAAGAAAAAAAGTTCAATAATTATCAAGGCTTAACTTTCAAATATGAATGTAGCCACTTCTACAACTAATAATGTTTCCACTTTGCAGTTGTTGTTATTGGTTTCATAGTTCTCCTTATAGATTAATTATTTTCGATGCTTACTTGCTTCATCGGAGTCGTAGCTATTCGCTTCTTCTTCCTCCTCTTCTTGTGTTTGTCGTGTAGGGACTGCTACAGGTGTTGGAGTCACTGAAGTGTAGGACATAGTCTGCCGAAGAGGTCTGTCCTCCCTAATCCCTTGTGCTGTGAAGCCTCCTGCTTCTCTAGGGGTTGGTGCTGCATAGGCAGGTTCTGGTTGAGATGCAGGAGAAGGGGCATTTGCTGTGAGAAGACTCAACAATGTTAGATATCATCTTAATGAATACGCAATGGTCCAGTTCGTTTAACTACATCTTCTACAGATACATTTTACAAAAATAATAATAAGTGTGTTAACATACATTTAGCAGCTACTACATAGAAAATAAAAAAATAAACATCAAGCCATTTCTTAAGACCTACTGAAGATCTCATGAAATATACTGATGATCCCCAATATGCATTCAATGTTAGAAGAACCAGCATACTAATAGTCTGGTAATAATCCAAGCCACAAGGTCTGCAATAAATCAATATGTTAAGTTGCGGCACAATAACTGCATGCTGTTGATTACCTTGGCCTTCAGAAAATCTATTGGCTGGAGTTTGTCTTCCTGCTGCTGCTGCTCTGCTACCTGCTTGAAAGAAGGGCATGAGTGGTATTAGCTAGAGACCATGCTTGCATATAGAACATTTATTACTATGAATTGTAATGGAAGATGGTTCTAACAGGTAACAGATTAATTGAGTTGTACCACAAAATGATCAACATTAATATTTCCAGTTATCATATAATATTACCCATAACCCAAACTATAGGTAGGGTTCCATATCCACCATATATGCTGGGACACACATGATTTCATTATGTTGATTGGCAGCACATGAAAATGTTGGATAATGGATATGCTGCAGAATTCCTGATTGATTTATCTCCTACAGACTGCAGGGCAGCACTTTTTGTATGTTGTTAATCAATTTGTATTAATATACAGATATATTCCTGGAAAATTTGGTGGATATAGTATCATCTTTTCGCAATGCCCCTGTTCCATTAACCCTGCAATGTAGAACTTTGCAGGAAGCACCTCTGGTATACAGCCTCTAGAGTTAGTCTTAACACTGCAAAGCAGTTTCACTGAGTTTCAATTGAGTAGGGGGGTGAGGGTAGAGGGATCAAAATAGTGTTGGAACACAGCTTTGTATTCTTAACATTATACCATTCCCTTAAGTGGCATTCCTTTTCTACCATAGTTTTATTATTTACCAATATTTAGTATTATTTTCACAATGTTGCTGCTATTAATTTTTACACAAACAGAACATAAATCAAAAAAAATACCGAACAATAGATTCACTTATTTATTCTGATTTTGAGGATATTCGGTATGGTAAATATATACATTTATTGGTAACCATTACAGATCACATAGCTTAACTGTTTTCAAAGTATAATATGAAAGTGAAAGACTTTACAAAATAGGGTTATTTGAGACACTGATTGGTAAGAGGCAGTGCTTTACTTACCCAAAGACTCTCTCTCACTCTTTATCTCTGAGTGAGAGTCAGAGTTGGAGTGATCACTGTAATACAGTGGAAATATATTTTGCTTTCTAAAAGGATGAGTTAGGGCACTATCAGTAATGGAAAAGGGCCACCCAAGTTAGATAGGATGGTAGTGTACCCATGTATCATTGCATAATACAGAGATTAATTAATAAAAATAGATATGGAAGCGAGGGGAGATTTATGGTAATTAGGGAGAAGGGTATGCTCTTATCTCCAATGCTACAAAACAAAATAAACGCCAAATATAACAACTTCTAAAACAAGGTGACCCTCCCAGATGGGTACCTCACAGAAAGATGTACAATATGTAGCAAAATATGGGATACAGCTGTGGACCTAAAAGGAAATATAAAAAAATAAACAACATAGTGTAGTATCCCTTAGTAGAGCAAGCTATGACAAGCTAAGATAGCGCACTCAGAGAATGTAGATATAATAGTCGCCTGTAGAGTGCCTCCCCTGTAACGGGGGGGCTAAACGAGACCCTCCTTTCCTTCCTCTTATGGATTTTCAGGAACCAAACAGAGCAGGAATCTGGTAAGGTGTAAAAAATACACTAATTGCCTAAATAAAATGTTTTAAAAATATATAAACTTAGTCCTACGCGTTTAGATCTACAGTTAGAACGTCTTCAGGGACTTAGTATAATAAAATTACAATGGTAATCACAAAGTGCAGTATAACCAACAATCACCGTCTGAAATCACTCCCCCCTTAGTCCATGTTGTATAGGCATACTGTCTCAAAGTTCATTGGTGGTCAAGTGGGTGTCTCTTCTGTCCATTCTTTGATTCGCCGCATGGATATTTCCCTCAGCTGTCTTGAATCTACCGATCTCAACTGTGAGTTCCGTATTGGTGATGTAATCGTTCAATATGCACGTCTGTGCGTTCCAGGAACATGGGGAATATCTGCATACCATTGCGGGTGGAGCTTGCGTTCCAGTTGTCTCCATCATATACTCATGTGTGTAAACCCAAAGAAAATAGTAATACACATAATCAATCATCATAGTCTTAATCTACATTCTACTTTTATGATCAGCATGAATCTTTACCATCTTAAGTATATATGGCACTTTACATATATTTAAGATGGCAAAGAATGATGCTGATTAGACATGTGCAACTGACATTTAATGTGGATAAGTGCAAGATAATGCATCTTGGACGTAAAAACCCAAGGGCAGAGTACAGAATATTTGATAGAGTCCTAACCCCAACATATGAGGAAAGGGATTTAGGGGTGATTATTTCTGATGACTTAAAGGTAGGCAGACAATGTAATAGAGCAGCAGGAATTGCTAGCAGAATGCTTGGTTGTATAGGGAGAGGTATTAGCAGTAGAAAGAGGGAAGTGCTCATGCCATTGTACAGAACACTGGTGAGACCTCACTTGGAGTATTGTACACAGTACTGGAGACCGTATCTTCAGAAGGATATTGATACCTTAGAGAGGGGTTCAGAGAAGGGCTACTAAACTGGTTCATGGATTGCGGGATAAAACTTACCAGGAAAGGTTAAAGGATCTTAACATGTATAGCTTGGAGGAAAGACGAGACAGGGGGGATATGATAGAAACATTTAAATATATAAGGGAATCAACAAAGTAAAGGAGGAGACTATATTTAAAAGAAGAAAAACTACCACAACAAGAGGACATAATCTTAAATTAGAGGGACAAAGGTTTAAAAATAATATCAGGAAGTATTACTTTACTGAGAGGGTAGTGGATGCATGGAATAGCCTTCCAGCTGAAGTGGTAGAGGTTAACACAGTAAAGGAGTTTAAGCATGCGTTGGATAGGCATAAGGCTATCCTAACTATAAGATAAGGCTAGGGACTAATGAAAGTATTTAGAAAATTGGGCAGACTAGATGGGCCGAATGGTTCTTATCTATGTTTCTATGTGCAATTCGTTTCAGTCCGAATATGAATTCGGACGAATTTCGGGCAATTCGGACATTCGGGTACTTCTGAATGTCCGAATTGCCGAAGTGCTGAATTGCAGAGGTCCCGAAGTTACTGAATTTCCGAAGTGTCAAAGTTCCGAAGCACAGTATTGCCTAAGTACTACTATACTTACCCAGTGAAAGAAGAGGGGGTGACCAGGGGTTTGGGGATCCCTAGTCACCTGGGGGGGACAGGGTGGAATGGGGAGGACAATAGGTCCCCCCCATTGGTATTTCGGGCCCCCATCTGCGCTCCGGGGTGGGGGCCAGGGGGTGGAAATTAGGTCCCCCCCTTATTAGTATTTAGGGCCCCCACCCACCGCTCAGGGGTGGGGGCCAGGGGGAGGACCTTAGGTCCCCCCCTTATTAGTATTTAGGGCCCCCACCCGCCGCTCAGGGGTGGGGTCCAGGGGGTAGGACATTAGGTCCCCCCCTTATTAGTATTTAGGGCCCCCACCCACCGCTCAGGGGTGGGGGCCAGGGGGGAGGAAATTAGGTCCCCCTTATTAGTATTTAGGGCCCCCAACCACTGCTCAGGGGTGGGGTCCAGGGGGGAGGACATTAGGTCCCGCCTCTTATTCCAATTTAGGTCCCCCACCCACCGCTCAGGGGTGGGGACCTTGGGGAGGACATTAGGTCCCCCCCTTATTAGTATTTAGGGCCCCCACCCACCGGCCTCTTTTTTTTTTTTAAACAGTGAGCAGCCACAGGCTGCTTACGGTTTACTAGACATGCCCCTACTCGCGGTATAGCGAGCAGGGGCAAAATTTACTAATATTAAGTCATTTTTACTTAGTATTAGTAAATTTGGCTGAAAGACCAATTTAGGTCTTTCAGCCTTTTGGTAGATAACTCCCTAATACCGTAGGAATTAGGGAGTTATCTATGAAGCGGCTGCAATAGAAGTCCCGAAGTGCTGAAGTCCCGAAATTTCGAAATGCTGAAGTTCCGAAATTCCAAAGTTCCGAAGTCCCGAATTGCGAAAATCCCGAATTTCGGAATGCCAAACTGAACCGAAAATTTTCCCCATGCACATGCCTTATGCTGATCATAAAAGTAGAATGTAGATTAAGACAATGATAATCGATTATGTCTATTAGTATTTTCTTTGGGTTTACATGCATGAGTATATGATGGAGACAAGTGGAATGCAAGCTGCATCCGCAATGGAGTGCAGACGTTCCCCACATTCCCAGAACGCACGTACATATGTATGGGAGCGATTACGTCACCTGTATGGAACTCACAGCTGAGATCAGTAGATTAAAGACAGCGAATCAAATGGCAAATCAAAAAATGGACAGAAGAGACACCCACTTAACCACCAATGAACTTTAAGACAGTATGTATTTAAAACATGGACTAATGGGGGAGGGTTTTCATGTGGTGATTGTTTGTTATACTGTACTCTGTGATTACAATTGTAATTTTATTATACTAAGTCCCTGAAGGTCTAGTTTTAGAATGAAACGCGTAGGACTAAGTTTATATATTTTTTAAACATTTTATTTTGGCAATAAATGTATTTTTTACACCTTACCTGATTATTGCTCCGTTTGGTTCCTGAAAATCAATAAGAGGAAGGAAAGGAGGATCTCGTCTAGCCCACCGACCCTATCAGGGGAAGAACCCTACAGGCGACTATTATATCTACATTCTGTGAGTGCGCTATCTCAGTGTGTCATAACTTGCTTTACTAAAGGATACTACTGTGAAGGACCACCTGGCACCCTGACTGGGTACCTCCCCCAATTGTGCTTCCTGTCAATCACCGAGTACTATAAGGACCGCACCTGACACCATAAGCACTCTAGCCCCCCTAGCCGCAGCAGCTTGGCTGGGGTCTCACTGTCCCTTCCCACCCTGGACCAACACCTGGACCCAGCTCCCAGTGGGAAGACCTCTCCTCCAAGAGAGTATAGCAGGTATAGCAGTGATTATAGCAGTATAGCTGTTCCCCCCAGACATGAGCCGAGGCTTAATGCTGGGAGTAGTCTGTTTAAGTCAGGGCCCACATGGCCTTTTATGCACAAGACCATGCAAGGGGTTTCCAATACAAGAATACAGGGAAATCTCTTCCATGATCCTTTGTGCCTGATAGATAATTATCTGAGAAGCAAACATATAACTACATTATCTCTCAGGTATAAAAAACATACAATTTACAAACATCCCAAAATCCATAGAAACACCACATTCTCAGATAGCCCTGATCTGTTGGCCAACATATCCAAAAATCACCCAGATCGATTCAGTGGTTCGGTGTTTTCCATCGAAGTCAATTATTTGACCAACCGCACACATTCTCCCATGCCCAAAACAGTTCCATGAAATCAGTGCTAACGGTCGTTCTCTTTCGGGAGTATAAATGTGTATAATATACCAAACATAACATATAATTAAAGTGTATAGCTTGTTCACCTCATTCGTGGTAATGATTCCACCGAACAGTGTCCCTCCAGGTGGTATAGAACTGAACGCAGACGATTATGGAAGTCCAGCTGTGTTCGGGAGTTTCAGTGTCCGATTTTAGTTACATGAGCTCGACGCCCAAACACCGCTGCCTGCGTTCACGCAGTTGTTCGGTTCATGAACAATACAATGGAATCCCATGAACAGAGCCCTTTAAAATGTATTTTACAGTATATCTGGCAGGGCCCCTGGTCCTGAGGCAGGAGGTTGGCAACAGGCTCTTCCAGGAGCCCGTGTCAAGGTTAAGTTCGCCACAACTACACTATGTTGTTTGTTTTTATATTTCCTTCTAGGTACACAGCTGTATCCCATATTTTGCTACATATCGTACATTGGTTTTCAATGTACCTGGTTGAGACTGCATGTTAGAGCTTTGGTTTGCAGGAGGAGAAGGTCTGGCACCTTGAGCAGTGTTGCCGCGTTTCACACCTTCAGGCAAAAGATACAAATAAAAAAACTCTTACAACACAAAAAAGAACTCAAACAGATATTAGCACGTCTATCCTTCTTTAATAATTGTGAAATGAAAGGCCATAGTTATAAAGAAAGATTTACATGAAATGTGCAAATTAATTATCCTATGCAGTGATGTTCCATCAATTTCTCAGTACAGGTTATCATAAAAAATGTTTGGATATGCTTAGTGTAGACTGAGTGAACAGATTAAAGAATACACTCATTAATACTGGCTCTTCAGTTGGCATTTGCTTAGACACCACTAAGTGAAATATGGATAGAACATCTGAACAATGATGTAGTGATTTGAAGATATTTAGAGTTGTATCAGTCAAGGATCAGAAAACTATCACTTTCTATTCCAGCTGAAGGACTTACTAAGCGGTTTTGCAAAAGTAATTAATATTATTGTATCAGTTTATATAACATTAAGTTTAATACCATTAGTTTAAAAGACAATAATGCCAACGTTATATTTTACCCAGTAGTTGCTTAGGCAGGAAATACAAAACAAAACATTCTTTCAATTTATTAATATTTGCTACAAATCTTATCAACAAGGACCCAGAAAGAATCTTGGGAGCTTGACTTCATTTACATCAAAAACAGTTCTGATAGTCTAAAATATAATAATAATTCTCTTCTTTCAGGAGTGATGGTTGCCTAAAAAGTAATATAAATACTTTTTCTTACTCATGCACAAAATAAATAGAGAGAAATAGTATGCATTCCGTAGGTCTTCGTCTGACCACCCAAGAGAACACCTACTCGATATGCATACCCCCTAGTATTTCATAGGGACAAAGAGAGGCACTTTAAGTTTTGGGGTGTGAGTGGGGGTGTGGCCAGGTGAGATTAGGTTATTTACAAATAATTTATGCAACTAAAATGTAATTTGGAACAATAACAATGTATTTTATTTACACAGACTGATTTCTAAACACATTTACTGCAGTTTAAAGACACATTACTGAGAGTATTTTTTACTGTGGGTGCTGTTACACACTCCGACGCACCAACAATATAGATCTTCTAGAAAAGAGGAACATTAGGGTAGAAAAGAGTGACAGAGGGATTTGGGCCAAAAATAGAGACCGTCTCTCTTAAATGGGAGCACTTGGGAGGTATGGATTTGTGTCACTCAACTCTTTTGTAGCCCTGTTAAAATGAGTTATTTGGCCTATTACAATACGATCTAACATTTGCTTTAATTTGTGATGTCAAACAGAATGTTAGATCAGAAGCAAATGTATATCCACAAAGAAAGACATAGCATAACCATGACTAAATCTTGTTAGGTTCAAAGTTCAGAAAACATTTACAGTAAGTGCACAGACCCCATGCTCTCAGTAAAGCTCCATATGGTCTCAGAATACTCAGGGTCAAATTTAACAAGGCAAGCAGGTACTATTCTGGGGCAAAGTGTTAAATGTTAACTTGCATTCTATTGGTTTCCATGGTTTTCTCATTTAGCCCCAGAATAATTCTTATGGTTTTCCTTAACAAATATAATTCACTGTGTCATGAACTATCTTTAAAACAAACAGCAAAATGCTGTTATTATTATTCTGGAAAAGCATGTGTGGCAAAATAAATGTTCTGTGTTTGGTGTGAGAGACTCCAGGTCGTGTTAAATATTTTGATTTTGCCCCGCAAAGAGCGGTTTGAGTACAAAATAACACAGGACACATCCAGTGAAACTGTTATAAAAAGTATCATCATTGAAAATGATTGACTCCCCAGTAGCTAGAGCACTAAGTAATGAATTGTGATGAACAACCAAACTGTTTACAAAACAGCCATTTTGGGAAACTCTGTTTATTCACATGAATACTTCATTATTCACTCTTTATTAATGAATAAGCCCACAAAGGATTTTAAACATTTTTTTCTTAAATACTGCACATTGTTATCCAATAGTAAACATAGACTTTGGTGAAATTAACTTATACTAACATTTTTTCCTCTAATTATTTCAGTGGACATAAGAGACACCTGCAATTTCCTTCACTTTAGAGTGCAAGTAATTAGATCAGCTGTAGGGTTTGTTTTAAGATTTCAGAAGTCTCTCTAGATTCTAATAACCAATTAACTAAATGGCTTGCAAGGAACACTAATAATAAAATAAAATTGCAACAGAGCTATTTAATGAAACACACGGGCACCACATTATTTCCAACCTGGCTAATCACTGTCTTACAATTTTATTTCTGCTCTACATCACTCGACTGTTTCCAGACATTGCCCTCAATTTGATTTGCTGCCATTGCCAGATCCACAAAGAAGTACACATATACGAATAAAGTACATTTTAGAAAATGTTCCACAAAGAAGCTAGTAAGCAAAACAAAACCTTAACGAGTAACAAACCACCATTCGGTGCCAGGACATAGACTTAGAAGGTCCTGGGAACCCACATTTACAAGTAATTATTCATTAGTATTTGATTGAATGACTTTTTGTGCCTTTATCTCTGCACACTCCAAGTTAAGCTAATCCTCATTTAGGAAAGATAGGACAAGCTACTGAGTTCCTCTAAGCTTTTGTTGGAGTTCTCATAATCTTTGTTTTTGTTGCACTAACTTGGCTCTCCCTAAGTTAAAAGAGTAATTCAGATGTAGACCTTGTGCTCACTGTGCTTAGAGGGGTATCAGCTACACCTCACTGACAAGGCCCAAAGAAGGCCAAATTGATCGTCCGTGGTTGCTATATCTCTTGTGCAGAGAAAGCTTGCCAGCATTTTGGTACTGGACTGCCCTTATGGGTGGGATCAGTCTGATATGCCTTAGAACTGGTTCTCTCTGTAATGGCACAAGTGAACAAAAAATATTTTGAGACCTGAGCAGGGAGTTACTGAAAGGCAAGCTACTGAGTTTCTCTAATTTTTTTCCTTTTTTAGAGCTCTCATATTCTTTGTTTTAGGAAAGATAATACTTTTTTTTTTAACTAATTACTGCAGGTACCAAAGATATACAGCAGTAGATATTAAATTATGTAATGTGTTTAAAAAAAAACATTTACTTTTTTTTTAGATTAGCTTTTACAGATAAAATTACATAGTATCATTAAATTCTATTTATACAATGTGGTACCCACCATGTCTGCCACCATTCTTCCTTTGCAGAGGTGCCAGCATGATCAACAGAGAACATTCATCCCCCAACAGCTATTCATCCCCCAAATGACACAAACATGCATTATATGGAATGCTGTCCACATTATAGTGACCGTGGAGCTTTCTTACATGGATAAACAGTAAGAATCTGTATGGGATATTTATCACATACTGCAGGGAACTTCATGTGTTCAAAGGTGTTCCATTAATAAGGATTACCAGAACCACCGTGTTTTCTTAGACATACATCAGATCATGCTGTGAGAAGCACATTAAATGTGAAATATGTTACAATCTTGAGGTGTTTTAGAAAGGAAGTAAAACAGGTCTGAAGCCTGTGTAAATTTGGTGGTGGTGAGTTGATTAATAGTGATTTGCCACAGCTGAATCCTTCAGATCCATACTCAAGTTTTAGACAAATAATAAAAAAACTTCCTTATTAATGCTTCCTAAGCAAAGAAGGCAGCTTTAGGATGTATGGAATACTCCCTTAAAGGAGCACTATACTGTGAGGAATACCTGACACTATAGCGCTAAAGTAGTTGTTTAGGTGACAAGCTCTCTCTCTGTGATTCTCCCACGCCGCTTCATCTTGCCGCAGCTGGCCCTGCCTGGCTCCGCCTCTATGACTGAGATCATCAATTTTGATGACCTCAGCCAATACAATGCTTTCCCATTGGAAAGCTTTTTGAGGCATTGTGAGTCTACCTGATAGAAATGGTGCAGTTTTACTCTACTATTTTGCAGAAGCAACTCTTGTGGCTGTCAGCATGACAGCCACGAGAGGCATGTTAACCCTGCAAAGAAAACATTGCTATTCCTGCAGAACGGCAATGTTTGACATTACAGGGTTAAAACTATGGCTTAGTGTCCCTTCAGCTTCCTGCTTGCACATTAAAATATAGTAAGTATATAGTAAGTATGACACATATGATTACTATATATATATATATATATATATATATATATATATAAAAATTATGCATAATATTTTAACTTACACATTGTCTATGTTTATAAAAAAATACAGTAAAGCTTCATCCAAGGATAAGGAGAGAAGGAGTTAGTTACTCTGGGCACGGTTCATGCTATAGGGTCCTCAAACTCCGGCCCCCAAGATGTTGCTGAACTACAACGCCCATGATTCTTTGGCTATCTATGTAATTCAAAGAATTGTGGGAGGTGTAGTTCAGCAACATCTGGGGGGCCGGAGTTTGAGGACCTATGCTATAGGATATCAAGCATATATATTCCTCACCAGAGAAAGAGCATGGTCTCTAATAAATTTGGGTGCCAGAGTAACAGACATAGACAAGCGCAAGGAGTTTCCCAGGTGTGCCCAGGAACACCATAATGCAGGGCTAGCTTGTTCTACATGCCACACATTTATCTAACCATTTACATTAATATTGGTTACTTATTATCTAGTCAAAATCCAGCACAAAAATATTTTTAAGTTTATTAATATTATTAGTTGAAATTAAGCTGGTACTTCTGCTTTAAAAAAAATAAAATAAAAAGCAATTCCAATACTTATCTCTCACACACCTCGAGAACATACTGTAATAAAGTAAAATTAAAGATATAAAGCATTTTAATCATATTCAAATATTTGTTGCTGAGTGCTTTTTCTGCCACTTATCTAAATATAAATTAAGGCAGATGCCTGAACAAGAATAGCAACAAATCTATTTTTCCAGCATGTACGCATATAATCTACTATAAGAATGAGAACATCAGGCAAATGATGAATTGCTATTCATACTAAGAATCGCTCCAGTTTTCCAATCAACAATGTATTTTTCTCCATTCGCTAAATACTTCCTGACGTACATGGCATCCAGCTGTGTGATTTCACAGAGATACTAAGAGTTCTCATAATTTGCAGGATATCACAAGCCAAGGAATGGAAAAAGTTGGATTTGTATCAAAATTAGAATCAAATGTGTCTACTCAAAAACTAGGCTGCAAGTTTGTCAGTTAAGCCATATAGCCCCACGCTGTAGAACATTGCGCAGTTCTTATAATAATGTATTTTGCTTTGGGGAAATATTGGCATTCTATGGAAAAATAAAGATAGTGATAAATCCATGCCATTTTCCCAGTCACAACAACGTAACTTGGGGGATAAGCACAGAATCTGAAGAAGTGTGATTCTTCTTAATGGGTTAATACAAAGAAGTCATTATTTGTTAGGACAAGGCAAATCAGACGCGGTACTTTCTAAGCAGACAGTATGCAACATTCCGTGGCTGTATCACTAAAACACTTTCTATTCAGGGTATAAAAATGTAACAACATACATTCATCACCACCACCACCATCCCCCTCCCCATAAAATATGAACACAGAGGTCTGTGGTTCCAGTCTAACCTCGATAAATATTCTGTTTGTGGTTAATAATGCATACAAATATTGATATTAAGACAGACATATACTCTGGAGAGCAGGGTTAGATTTCCCACAAGGACAAAAAAATACACATCTTCGGGGCAGCAGGCATGAGAGGGACAGCATGGCCAGTGGGGAGATCAAAGATCTCCCCCACTAGCAAGCCAATTCTCCTCCTGTCGGACCTGCAGGGCTTTAACTCAAATAGAGAGATCGTAATAAGTCTTCCTTGCCTGCACTGTATTAGAGCAATGTCAAGGGTTAATATTGCAATGCTCTGATACATTTCCCAGGGTTGGAAGAAGGTATCTATGCCCACTGGGGGTACAGACATGCTGCATCTCCCACCAAACCACCTGGGATCAGGATTCCCCCCTTCCTGGCCCAAGGTAATCCACAAGGTGGCGAGAATAAGCTTTAGTCTAGTATTTGTTGAGGGGGTTGTTTGTTTTTTAAAAATACAAAAATGTTTTATTTTTCTTCAAGTCCATATATCTTACTACAGCCACATATCCCAAGACAACCGCAATCCCACACTATAGCCCCTACCCTCCACTATATCCACAGTCCCCCACTACTCCGCTATACACCTCGGAAGCCATTACTTTCTTACTATATTATTATCCTTCCCACTACAACCCCTCTCCTACCACTATGTTTACTACTATAAATACTATCCCCCACTAAAGCCCCTAGAGGCCCTGTCCCCCACTGCAGCCACTTTCAGTCCCACAATAGTCTCTATACTATCACCCCCCTATTCCCCTATATCCCCCACTCACTTTAGTACCTATCACTCCACTACAACCCCTATCCCCCACAAAAGCCCCAAATGGCAACTTAAGAATCAGCCCCCATACGCACAACCCCAAAAGCAGCAAACACACATATACAAAAGCACAAGTAGCCTCCACCCACATACACATACCTTTTCCAACTTATCATCCAACCACCCACCCACCTAATCATATTCACCATTCAATCATAACCCAAACTAGGCCTATAAATTAGCGCATATAGATATATCTCACGGGATGCACTGAGGAAATTGGCCTCAGGGCAAATTTCAAATGGACAAAGAGTGTGAGCAGGGTTGTGGCCAGGAGCAGGGTTATACTGAGAAATTTTAGGTGACACACTTAAAACAATTAATGCAACTTAAATATAATTTAGAACAAGAACAATGTATCTTTTTTACACAGACAGATTTTTGAGACTGATTACACATTTATGTCAGAGACCGATTACACATTTATTGTAGTTTAAAGACACGTTATTGGGAGCATTTTTGTTGTGGAGCTCTGTTATATACTAAGACACAACAACAATATGGATCACCTAGAAAAGAGGATCACTAGGATCTGGGCCCCAAAAACATGAGCACCGTGTCTAACTGCTATATTTTCTTTTTTGGCCTGGTGTATTTGATACTGCTTTTGCTATCGTATGTGCGCTACATGTCTCTTTCCGATTTAGAAAGAATGTGGGCAAGAATTTTGAAATTTCTTCCCAATAATGAAAAAGCATTCAAAAAGAGCCTAAGGACTCTTAGCCTCACCATAGGTGCTGTTACATATGTGTTCTTTCCCCATAACACATTTATATTTATATTAATATAAATGAGTGGTGTTGCAGGATTTCTTATGAAATACAAAGATACTCCATAATTGTACACACACATTACATAAATAAAGAAAAAGACAATAATCTAGTCAGTGATCATCAATTTCTTCCATTTATGCATGTATTTATCATATCTCTGATTGTCTACAATATATGGGAGAGGCAAACTAAGCTCATCTTTGTATCCATTTGGGATATTTAAAGATACATTTTGCCCTTCCTTGTCTATTTGAATATTGGAAGAATTCCTTGTAAATGCCTGAAAGGAACACGTATGCCTGTATGAAACAGATTGAACGAAACCTCCGGTCACATTTACCGCATGGGAGAGAGCTGTCACTGTGCATGATTTTAACATAAAATAACTAGGATGCGTTGGAAAGAAATTGAATTAAGGCCAATTAAACTGTAAAGCCATCCCATGCTATGAGTATACATTATTCATCGTCTTCACATTGAGGTTGCAGGGTATTCATATTTCAGAATACGAGAAACTGCACATGGTGAGACGAGTCGGAACTTATACATCAGTGCAATAAAAATGCATAAAAATTAAAAGCTATTTTTTGCATCACTGTAGACTGAAAAATGAAATAAAATTCAAATAAACATGCAAATAAGTGTGCAATTCACAGTATTCGAGAATAGAGACAAAAATACATAATTCTGCTCATGGACCTAAAGATATGACAGATTTTCAGAAATACACGAATTTTACCAAATATTTTATTTTATTTTTTAAATTGGACATCTTAAGGGGCGACTTTGAAAAATCTAGGCTATAGTGCCATGATGGTTCATCCTCCCCACGATTCTCAGAGAGCTGTTTGACCAAAGGATAGTTATTACCAATTATGTAAGTCATTCTAAATGATACCAAGGCAAGATTGTGACATGTAAACCAGATGGCACGTGGAGAGCAACTTGTTAATGACAAACATGTAATGAGTCATCAGGACTAATATTTAGTTTTTTAGTTTTAGTAAGTTTGCACAGCCCTCTTCTTCAATGTAGAATGTAACTACTCTATTGCGTATCATGCAGCTATGCTTTGTAGGGCTATCTTCAGTCCTAATCCCTTAAAGGAAAGAAATGTTCAATGCCATCACCATAACTTGTGCCTTAATGGCCATATAATGACATGGAATTTTTTTTTTTAATTTATATTATCAGCTGTGCAGAAACTTGAAGTAGGACAGTCAATGGCAGGATATGATCCTTAAGGTCAAAATTGTGATAGCATGCATAATAATTGCTTCTCAGGCGGTTATTATTTCAATTAATTCCAAACGAGGAGAGTAGATGCAACAGAGAAGGTGAAATGCAGTATTACTAAAATGCTATATGACAAGGAAACCAGCGACATGTGTCTTTGCTTGCTTCCAATATCATAGACAGTCTCCGCAGACAAGAAGACGAGGAATGACGTGAAAATGAAGTCTAATTCCAGTAAATGAATCCATTTAAATTCTACTTACAGAGATGACATTAAAAGCATTCATGATTCTAAATATATTTTTATACATTGGTACATTAGAGGATATACACATCGTAATAGTGGTACATCAGATGACACATGGATAGTAAACTTTTAAATGTATGGATTCAATTTTGCCATGAATTTAAAGCTATAAATATCACCTGTGTCAGTGAACTACAAACACATATGTCAATGCACTTCCAAAATTGACACCATACAATCCTAAAATAATAAAATGGGAACATAGCACAGTAGATCATATGATCTACACATCTGGCATTGATTTAGCTAGCTCAATATATATATTTTATTTTTCAACAAAGACTTTGTTATCCAAGAAAGGTTTAGAATGATGAGTTCAGATTCAACTTTTTTATTGTGGAAATTGTCTCTAAGAAACACGTTTTGTGAGATATCTATTCAGCCTCCAAGGACTCTTATGACTCTAGTCAGAAGCAACGCTATAAATACCATGTATCATAGTGCTAGCAAGGGTCCTTACTATGACATTGGGAAAAGTATGATAAGGGAAGGACTATCAACTTTTTGCTTCCTTTTCCAGTCCTTCCATGAGTCAGACATTACATTACTTGTAGTTTAACCACAGGTGGAAAAGTACAGACAAAATTCATCAGGTATGGAATTTTCAAAGAGATATATTCAATGTAAAATATAAAAATTTACTCACTTTTCCCCCAGAGCCACGTTGTGGGTGACACTCTTCATGTAATACCCACCTCCGGGCTGTGCTGCGCTCCTACTAGGGAAAATCTCATTATGTCTTGGCCTTCCTACACTTCCTAGTCAGCACTAGCAGCACCGACTAGGAATTTTCATAGCAACCCATCCAATCAAAGACAAGAAAGTCTTTTATGCCAAAGGAGGGAGGACAGAGGTTTAGTAGCAAGCACTTAATACAATAAGATACTGTATTGAGAGATATTTGACTTGGGATTTTAAAGTTTGTATAATTGTACGTGTTAAGCTGACATTAAATCATGTTTATCAAGAGAATCAAGCATAATATATACACATGTAATAACATTTCAAAAGTGTAGAAATTCTACAATAAAGTATATAATAAACCATAAAAAAGCAAATTTTACAAGAGGGTAGAGTAATCTTTGCACAAAGCTACTTGCAAGAGTTAGCCTTGCTACACAATAAACAAGTGACCTATAAGTGAATCAGGCCTCCCAACAGTCTCAAACTTTAGGGTCTTGTCCTGTCGTCCCGACTTTGCACCCTGATGAACTGTCCTCAAAAAGCGTAACTCAAGCGCATCATTAGATGCACTCACACTATAATTAAGGCACTAGGACCCTGCAGAGAGTGTTGAAACAGCCCTCTGTGCATGGGTCGCCCTTGGTGAGCCAGGTTGCTAAGTTGGCAGGCAGCCCGGTGTGCATTCACATCAGATTGAACTGACGATTCTTCAGGTGGAACTGTCCCTTTCTGAGCAGTCCCCTTTTCGGGGAAGGTCAAGTCTGTATTTCACATCACTGACTTGCCCACTTTTGCCCCCATACTGATGTATAGGGGGGTATAGTGAATCATACACAGATATGCCAAAATATTTTAGCCCCAAAGATAAAACCAGATGTGAGAGGACTGAAAGACCACATTTTCTAGATACTAACTTGGGAGAACAGCCAAATACAGTAATGCTCAATATCAATACTTGGGAAGCAGGAGGGCGGGGGGGGACTACAAATAAATTATTTACGTTAAATGACACAGCCATCAAGCTATTACCTGCTTGTTTACAAAACTGGTGGTTATAGTGCCAGGAGTGACTGGGTGCCATCTTAGTGTAATCTGTCAACCTGCTTTAGCCCAGTTGGGGACTGTCTGTGTCCTGATGGGTCTTTGCTGTATTTGGTCTACCCAGAGCAGGAAAAGTTAAATGAAATGTAAGCATTTAATTCACTGGCTTATAGCATCAGCTGAGTGCTCTCAGTTCAGTGAGTAGCTGCAGTTAACAAGCTGGCTTCTTTAACACTGAGAAGAGTGAATGCAGCATGGGTGCCCAGTGGGACCTCGGTAAGTATCAAACCAAGCTAAAATGGTTTGACAGATTATGCTTGGATGGCACCAGGGCATGTTGTGGTTTTGGTGTTTGCAGTGTTCCTTTAAATATCCATTGGTATACACAGTGGTAAGTATATTATTTGTTATGCATTACTAAGTCTATGCCATCTGTTCTTTTTATATTTTTAACTAATTTTCAACAAAAATATTATTTAAAAAATATATATATATATTATTTACATCTTATAACTGGTAACATGTTCACAAACCTCCAGGGCTTCTGTTAGGGTCATTGTCAGGTCCACTGTAAGAGTAATCTCTGCTTTCTTGGTCTCCTCCACCATATTCACCTCCACTTGGAGCCATTCTTGATTCTTGTTGTTTATGAGAAGTTGGAGGGTAATTGCCTCTTCCAGTAGCAGTAAGAGTTGATTCATTGCCTGGATACATAGAATTTTATGATGATTAAATCCTCTACAATGCAAAATTAAAAGTAAAATGAGCATATGCAGATGAGACATATATCTGTAAATAATTGAAGGCTGACTGAATGACATGTTAGATACAGGAATAACGTCTACACTCTGTTTATACTTTATTTTTTTAATCAGTGTATCAGTGTCAGAAACAATAACCCAATGCTCTGATAAAGATTACAGTTTTTAATTTTCTAAATTCATTAGTTAAAAGCGGAATCCAGATGTAGGCCTATGTTTACTGTATCTAGAAGGGGTTTCAGCCACACTTCAATGACAAAGCCCAAATATGACAATAATGAAGTCTCATGAATAAGCTATGTGCCAGACAAGTAGAGCAGAAAGATATTAAAATAAGTTTTATCATATATATCAAAATGGAATAAAACGTGATGGAACATAGTTAGTATTTCCTAGAGAGATGGCATGGAAATTTTGGTAGACTGATTCTTTACTAGGTGGAGAAAAAGCTGTGACCAGACCAAAAATGTTCAGACACCCTAACATGGCAACCGTTATGTGGGGATGGGCACAGCTGTGGCATTAGACAAAGCTTACATACCATAGTTTGACGTATTGATAATACTCAGTTTGTTACAATTGTTGCATAAAGGCATAACTTAATGGGTTACTCCAAACATTATAACCACTACAGCCCACTGTAATAGTTATGATGTGAGCAATACCCTGGCCACGTTTCTTAGTAATGGGGCAAACCAATGGCAACGGGTTACTGTTACCTGATCCTATTGGACACCTGGTCTTCTTTAAGGCTACCTGCATCATGCATGCAGATTCTGCAGAGCTAGATGACGTTTCAGTGCTCTCTCAGCTATAGATTCTGTACGTATGAATTGCAAAGAAATGCCATCAGTCAGCCCGGAACTCTAGTTCCGGTTGGCTGATGATAGGCAAGTTACAAGTCAGACTAAAAACGAGTAACATTTGGCATAACATGTTCAATACACATTAAAAATATTATTTTAGTCTTGTTCCACAGCAGCTGGAGTGTGTATCCTAACACTCTGGCAGACTTGGAATGTAACTCCCACCACACTCAAACAATGACACATGCAGATGAGATGACAAAAACAACATAGAATGACACACACACAGACTGTCAGAGATTGAAAAGCACTGACTGAGAAATACACGTATAGCAGAGATTGTCATGGAGGTACAGAACAGCATTTATTATCTGTAAGTCCTGCCAGTGGGAAGTTGATAACTGAAGTATGATTGAATATTTCACATGAAATAATTCACAGGAACTAGATCACTAAGTGAATTACAGCATTCTAATATAAATATAAAAATATACACATAGATATGTCTCTAAGTAAACATTGTTGATGGTTCTGACAACCAAAGTTCATAAGGGTACTAAATTGCCCCTCTACCTCATTAAAATGAATCCCACACGTTTGATAAGTTATTCAGTATGAAGGAGTTAAGAGGTAAATGGACTTTCACAATAATTAATCAATCAATCACAGGATAACAAGATTACTAACTGTATCTAACTTACCCTGTTCTCAAAAAATCTCCATGGCACATTTAATTAAACGAAGACAGGTGTTTTAGCCGTCACAATTTTACATGCAAGAGTATTGTGTAATGAGAAGAGCATAATACGTTTATCTAGAAAGACACCCTTCGAATGTAAAGGACATTATTAGTGCAGACACCCATTATTAAAAATAGAAAATAAACTGTAATAGAAAAAAAAAGAAAAAGAAAAAGAAAATCACAAATTATAAGAGGTTTTATTTATAATTTTTTAATTGTTTTAGAGTAGCTATCATCACCAGCCCTTACAAATTCCGGTTTTACATGTATAAAATTTATTGGGCAGAAGACAATAAGTGGACATAGATGTTTCTAAGTGGATCATGGAGGTTTGTGTGAAAGAAAACACGTAACGCTAGGCACTATCAAACACAAGTGATCCTTGTGAGTTGTTAAACTGCTTATTTCTTAGATATACTGGATTAATTAATAAACTGAGTATTCAAAAAGAATTTCAAATTCAAGTCAAGATTAGTCGAACTAAAAGCATAGATGACCTAAATAATTTTTCCAGGTAAGCTATTTTGACCTTAAGTATGGAATTCACTTGGAATCACTGCCAATACTCGCTTTGATGAACAACCCTGGTAATATGGTAAGGTACTATATAGAATATATATGATTTTTGTATTTTAAGTGTACCATATACCACTTTATTCTTTTTATACATTGTTCTGGTTTGATATTTTATTTACATGTACGAGACCAATTCCAGTGAGACTATTCCTTAAAATTTTGCCACAAAAGATAAGTTTATTTATTTTGTTCTTTTAATTTATTTTTCTTTAACGTTTTCATTTTTTTCTCTTCATATTCTGTCAAATGGTATAATATACAGTCAGGTCCATAAATATTGGGACATCGACACAATTCTAATCTTTTTGGCTCTAAACACCAACACAATGGGTTTGAAATGAAACAAACAAGATGTGCTTTAACTGCAGACTTTCAGCTTAAATTTGAGGGTATATACATCCAAATCAGGTGAACGGTGTAGGAATTACAACAGTTTGTATATGTGCCTCCCACTTTTTAAGGGACCAAAAGTAATTGGACAGATTAACAGTCATAAACCAAACTTTCACTTTTTAATACATGGTTGCAAATCCTTTGCAGTCAATTACAGCCTGAAGTCTGGAACTTATGGACATCACCAGACGCTGGGTTTCATCCCTGGTGATGCTCTGCCAGGCCTCTACTGCAACTGTCTTCAGTTCCTGTTTGTTCTTGGGGCATTTTCCCTTCAGTTTTGTCTTCATCAAGTGAAATGCATGCTCAATAGGATTCAGGTCAGGTGATTGCCTTGGCCATTGCATAACATTCCACTTCTTTCCCTTAAAAATAATCTTTGGTTGCTTTTGCAGTATGCTTCGGGTCATTGTCCATCTTCACTGTGAAGTGCCGTCCAATGAGTTCTGAAGCATTTGGCTGAATATGAGCAGATAATATTGCCCGAAACACTTCACAATTCATCCTGCTGCTTTTGTCAGCAGTCACATCATCAATAAATACAAGAGAACCAGTTCCATTGGCAGCCATACATGCCCACGCCATGACACTACCTCCACCATGCTTCACTGATGAGGTGGTATGCTTTGGATCATGAGCAGTTCCTTTCCTTCTCCATACTCTTTTCTTCCCATCACTCTGGTACAAGTTGATTTTGGTCTCATCTCTCCATAGGATGTTGTTCCAGAATTGTGAAGGCTTTTTTAGATGTTGTTTGGCAAACTCTAATCTGGCCTTCCTGTTTTTGAGGCTCACCAATGGTTTACATCTTGTGGTGACTCCTCTGTATTCACTCTTGTGAAGTCTTCTCTTGATTGTTGGCTTTGACACACATACACCTACCTCCTGGAGAGTGTTCTTGATCTGGCCAACTGTTGTGAAGGGTGTTTTCTTCACCAGGGAAAGAATTCTTCGGTCATCCACCACAGTTGTTTTCCGTGGTCTTCCGGGTCTTTTGGTGTTGCTGAGCTCACCGGTGCGTTCTTTCTTTTTAAGGATGTTCCAAACAGTTGATTTGGCCACACCTAATGTTTTTGCTATCTCTCTGATGGGTTTGTTTTGTTTTTTCAGGCTAATGATGGCTTGCTTCACTGATAGTGACAGCTCTTTGGATCTCATATTGAGAGTTGACAGCAACAGATTCCAAATGCAAATAGCACACTTGAAATGAATTCTGGACTTTTTATCTGCTCCTTGTAAATGGCATAATGAGGGAATAACACACATCTGGCCATGGAACAGCTGAGCAGCCAACTGTCCCTTTACTTTTTGGTCCCTTGAAAAGTGGGAGGTACATATACAAACTGTTTTAATTCCTACACTGTTCACCTGATTTGGATGTAAATACCCTTAAATTAAAGCTGAAAATCTGCAGTTAAAGCACATCTTGTTCATTTTATTTCAAATCCATTGTGATGGTGTATAGAGCCAAAAAGATTAGAATTGCGTTGATGTCCCAATATTTATGGACCTGACTGTAGACACAGTATATTCACTGTGCATTAGTATAATTGTTATTTTTTTCCCATTACCAGCTAATATTTTCCCATGATGCTTTACAAGTCTTGATGCTGTTCCGACTGTAAGACATAGAGATTTTACACAGAGCTTATAGAAGTTAGCAAAGCATCATGGGAGCTGTGGGTCTACAATAGCCGTTTACCTGCCGGCTAACCCTACTTTAATATTCATGCATATTATTTGTGATTCTGCCTTTCAATCAGCTATTGCAGGCATGTTTATTATGTGGAATTTGGAACTTCTGTTGCAATTCATTTCAGATGCATTGAAGCAATTTTGAACAACAGGTAAATGTTTTGCTTATATTTAAAAGCCCATTGAATACGGCTGAGGAACTGAGCCAGTATTGCTTTTTAATTTCCAAAAGACTCTTTTGTAGAGAGCAAAAAAATGTTGTGAGCGACTAACTCCTTTCATTTATTTACAAAGGAACGTATAATAAATTGCTTCTGTTTGAAAGGCATTATAATCTTCTTCATGTCCAATGGCAAATTGTATCTAAACCAGGTTACCATGGCAATAGCAGAGATTGTGAGTCCTAGAAGCCTTGCATTGCCATGTATGAATTAATTATTTCCCTTCAACAATTGATAAAATGAAATGTTGTTGTTATTGGACTGTACAAGTTTAATTTGCCTCTCTCTTACCATATGAATCTTGGTCAGGCTGTGTAGTAACTTCGGCTTGAGCTGTAATATAAATAAACATCCATTAGTGCTACACATATACAGAAAAATGTATTACGTACCAATGACAGGCAAGCTGTCAATCACAATACATTATATAAAGACCATCGTCCAAAATAGAATACCTAATATTCTATTTGGGCCCCCTAACACATGCACACACACATCCAGCAAATGTGAAGACATTGGACCTGTTGTGCAGGGATCATTGAATACCTGTGAGCAAAAGCCCCAAAAACATGGAGTTTAGGGGACATTTCGCACATAGTAGAATTTTAGAAAAAAGGTATATAATGCCCAGTTTTGTACTGCATGAACAGTACCAGTTCTTAAATAATGTGCAGCAGCTTTATCCACATAAACATAGTACTAGCATAGTAAGAGCAGAATAATATATATTTTTATATATATATAGAATTTCCTTAAGAAAGAAGCCTTAGTTGAACTTATCACATCATAAACAGCTACTGTTCATCTTTCTGAATTCTATGGATTTCTCCAATCCTTACCTTCCTATACCTTTCTCACATTTCCTTGGTGATAGCTGTACTAAAATAAAGGTTCAAATTCATTATTTCTTTTTTTGTCACCTCGGCTCTGATTGCGGGGATAACGTTTCTGCTCTGGAGCTGGAACATCTGATGCAGCTGGTTCGTTGGTTTTCTGGGGTTTTGATTTAGACACAGGCATCGGTTGAGGCAGGACATGCTTTGGGAAGCCTTTGAAAAACCACGCCCCTGATCTCTTCCACACCTAGATAATTCAGGGGGAAAAAAATCTGGAGTTCAGAAAAAGTAAGTAAATCTGGGAAGGATGCAGGCTGGCTGGCGATTTTATAGTTAAGCCAGAGTAAGGACAGAGGATAGAGGACTTTACAACTTGAGGAGGATTACGATAAACAATGAAGCCTGGCAGGGATTCCTCAGCGTGAAGAGAATAAGCAGGGAATGGATTGTGTACCTCTTTGTGTGTAACTGTGTCAATGTGTTTGAGTGCAATGTATGTCTTTGTGTGGCTGGTGTATCTGTAGATATGTGTAGTAGTGGCAATCTGTGTGAATTGGACAGTTTGTAACTTTGTGTGGATCTGTGTCTGCCTGGCAGCATTTATTTGTGGTGTCTACTCATGTGTATCTGTTTGTGTGTCTTACAGTGTCTGTAGGTTTCTGGGCCTGTGCTCAATTGTGTATCTATGTAGCTGTGTGTCTGAGAATGCATATCTATGTGTGATGTTTCAAATGTTTCATTGTTACACATATATTTAGTTTTTTATTTTTCTAAAAAAATATCTGCAGTAAAAATGTATTTTCCAAGCACACATGAACTCTGTGTGTGATGTACACCTCTATTATGTATTTTAGCTACCATGGCTATCCACAAAATCAGAAAAAGCTTTTCAAGTCTCTACCAACACTGATATCTTGCCTGTGGTTTATTACACTCAGCTACTTTAAAAGTGATTATTTAATGGTGTGATTTATAACTACTACTTAAGAACTTGGAAGATTTGTTACAGCAAATTTGAACAACTTAGAAAGAAAAGTAATAGTGACCAATCATAGGTGCATGGTACCTAGGCTTCATGTACACCATCCCAGTCAAGCAATACTGACCTCTCTTTGTTCGCTGCATATTTTGCACAGCCAGATGGAGTGAGGGCGGCTGTTGGTCTCCACGCCACACTTTGTGCAAGCATTCTGTAAATAAAGCCATGAGACTCCATGATATATTCTCAAACTTACCTAGAGTGGGGACTGAGACACATTACTGGAAGAGGAGGAGAGGGGGGGGACTGTGACAAATGGAGGGGAGGGGGGCCAAAGACACATGGAGGGGAGGGGGGACTAAGACACATGGAGGGAATGAAAGACGGTACTGAGACACGTGGAGGGGAGGGGGAACTAAGACACATGGAGGAGAGGGGGGACTGAGCCTTATGGAGTGCAAAGGAGGAGGGACTGACTCATGGAGGGGAGAGAAGGGAGTCTGATACACATGTAGAGAAGGGGAGTCTGATACACATGGAGAGAAGACTCTGACAACATGGAGGGGAGAGGAGTAGGTTTGAGACACATGGAGGGGAGGGGGGACGGAGACAAATGTAGGGACTGGGAGAAGAAGAGATGCTCTATGAGAAGCCTCTGATTGGACAATTTTCTGTGAAAAAGGGGAGGACCTACAAAGGCTGCAGTCATAAGAACTGCAGCTTTTGCAAGCTGTTTTAGACTATACCCCCAATAAATACATAGAAACATAGAAATTAAATTTATACAGGCAAGTATTCATTGGGGGTATATCTACTAAACCGTGTTGTTTTTTTTTCCAAGTGTGGAATGAGCCTTTAAGGGCCACATGGCAAAGGATCAATGTACTAAACCAGAAACACTACACAAATTATATTAACCCTGACATATAGAATATATTAGCATTGCCATTTGTTTAAGGACAGGTATCTATACATGCAAAAAACAAAAAACAAAATGAGATACCTTGCTGTGGAAACAATTATTTAGTTTTATGCCTGCTTATTTGAAAAAAACTAATTTGTATCTAGGATAATTTATGCTAAAAACAAATCAACACTTGTGAATGATTAACTGTGGTAATTACCTTTTTGCAGTCTTCACAAACAACACACTTTGCTCCTGGCAATCCTAACTGTTCCCCGCAGAGGATACAGCGGTTTACCCCATCTCCAGACACTGCTTTTCTCATATCGTCTAAACGGTCCACCAAACGCCTAGATAAGAAAACAAAATGGATTAGGAACTGAAAATCCCTACAAAAGAAATAACAATTCTAAAACGGGAAAAAAAATAGCATTGAATCCACCATGGCTAAAATGTGCAATTCAGTAAAATTATGTTATAGCACGACATCTGAACAGTAGCAACTGTCTATAGTCCCAGAGAAAATAAATAAATCGATAAGTTCAATTGAACTTTAATCATACACAGTAGTAGTTTGTAGGTCCTAGCTGGCCCTAGCCTTAAATAAGTATAAAACTTACCTTTTTTCCAGTGCCGCGAGAGTGTGCTGGCGCTGAGTGCGCCTTCACTCCGCCTCCCTGCCGGAGGTCATCAGAATTGATGACCTCCGGCTTTCCCATGAAAAAAGGCAATATTTACATTAAAATGCCTGCATCAAGGGAAGCTTAAAAAAAACTAAATTAAAAAAAAAGATAGACTTTTTTTTCAGGAAGCATGTAGAAAGGCTGTGTGAGTCTCAGCCAGTGCAGGTGTGGCTAGGGCTGCATAAACAAAGTGGTTTAACTCCCAAAAAACATAACTGAACTGCAGGAACACACAGAGACAGATTAACCACAAGGCCGCCTAGGAGGATGTTGAGGGCCTCGGCTGAGAGAGAACACTGGTGGGCCCATGTCTGGGCCTGAAGCGTTGGCTCTGGCTGTGAGGAAGACATCCTTGATCTAGCAGGGAGATCAAAAAAAAATCTCCCTGCTTGGCCCTGTGCACACCATCCGAGTGCCACAGCCAGCACACTGAGTCACTGACAGAGAGGGAGCTCCAAAAGGGAGTTCTTAAAGTGATCTACACTTGATATTGTGCAAGCCACAAATCTCCCCCACCAGGGATGCAGACCATCAGGGAAGCAGAAGGAAGGGAAAACAAGTCACTAAAAACACTAAGCCACACTCAAACTCCCTTATACACCCACAACACTTCTCCACACACATAAAAGACTTGCCCACCAGACACACATTCTGAAATCCAGAGTACCTGCACTAAAAATCTTTATTAACTTCCCAACTGGTATAATTCACATTTTTCAACTAACAAAATTACTTGTAACTGCTAAATTGCAATGGGAAAACAAAGGAATTAATTTAATTAATGGGAATTCAAAGACATTTCTGCTTTCTGTAGAGACTTCACAGTTGTTACAAATGAGAGAAAACTCAGAAGTGAGTAATTCCGTATATTTCTTGCGTTTTTAATTTTGTTTTGTTTTTTTAATTTTTATTTTTGCAGTGCAGGAAAATACAAACTAATGTTGAGATGGTACAATGACATGAGAAAATAGACTAATGTCAGTCAGAGGGGCATATAACAAGATGCAAATGTTGCGCCATTTTATATTAATTAAGGAAGCATCAGACAGACAAGATTAATGCGGACTATGCCAGGATAAAAAAATATGGTATTCATTAAACAAGCTAGTCAGGCATCAAGAGTACTACTGGTACATTATATTATATTATATTATAAACATTATATCAATAACATCGCTCCATGAGTAAAAAGGAAATAAAAAAAAAACAGAAAACTGGTCAAAATAAACAAAATTATTTTATTTTATTTTATTATTTTATTTATAAAATATTTTACCAGGAAAGATACATTGAGATTTCTCTCGTTTTCAAGTATGTCCTGGGTCCACAAATCATTGCATTGTTACATTAGGTACAACAAAATACAAAAACAATATTAATACACAATATATACAAAATTTAACATAGAACAGGCAGGAAATATATAATCAACCATGACACGTGCATTCTGTTTTGAGGTATGTAGAGAGGGATCTCTTAAAAGACTTTAGGCTTAGGGAAGATTTTAAATTGTGCGGGAGGTCGTTCCACAATTGCGGCGCTCTGTAGGAGAAGGAGGATCGGGCCGCTTTCTTTTTGTATTGAGGTAGACTAAGTAAAGTGCTTGTACTGGATCGGAGGTTATAGAAAGTGGGAACAGCTGGAGAAAGCATTTTGTTCAGGTAGGGTGTGAGTTTCCCAGAAAAGCTCTTAAAAACAAGGCTGGAAAGATGAAGGGTGCGTCTGGATTCCAGCGACAGCCAGTTTAGTTCCTTTAGCATGTCACAATGATGGGTCCTGTAATTACATTGTAGCACAAATCTGCAGAACGAGTTATACAATGTGTTGAGTTTATTAATGTGGGATTGCGATGCAGACGCATATACTACATCCCCATAATCAATGATTGGCATCAGCATTTGCTGTACAATCTTTTCCTTTACTGTAGGGCTTAGGCAGGCTTTGTTTCTGTACAGGGCACCTAATTTTGGATAAAGTTTAGATGCAAGCTTTTCTATGTGCAGGCTAAAAGATAGATTGGGGTCTAATATCATACCCAAGTATTTGAAAGAGTGGACCGCGGTCAGTGTGCCATTTGAATTTGTTTTGATGGATAGGTGGGGATTGTGTAATTTGTGTAATTTAGGTACCGTTCCAAAGATCATTGTGACAGTTTTGTCAGTGTTCAGGAAGAGTTTGTTTTTTGCGATCCACTTTTCTACCTCTGTAAACTGGTCTTGGAGCAAAGCCTCAAGTTGAGGTAGATTGGATTTGCTCGCATAGATTACCGTGTCATCTGCGTACATGTGTACATTTGAGGATTGGCAGACATTAGGCAGATCATTTATAAATAATGTAAATAGTAGGGGGCCGAGAATGGAACCCTGGGGAACACCACACGTGACTGGGAGAGGGAGGGAGTCACTGTCAGAAATGGACACATATTGCGAGCGATCCGATACATACGATCGAAACCAGTTTAAAGAATGATCACCAATACCTGAGTTTTCGAGTTTGTGCAGTAGAATGTCGTGGTCTACTGTGTCAAAGGCCTTAGCAAAATCAAGGAAAATAGCTCCAGTTAGGGCTCCTTGTTCCATGCCAGTTTGGATGTCATTGCAAACTTTTAGGAGGGCAGTTGTAGTGGAGTGATTCTGGCGAAAGCCCGATTGATCAGGGGTCAGATAGTTTAATTGTTGGTAGTACTCACAAAGTTGCGTATGGACACATTTTTCTAAGATTTTTGACAATACAGGGAGCAATGATATTGGGCGATAGTTAGAAACCAAAGTAGTGTCACCACTTTTATGGATAGGCACTACTCTCGCAGTCTTCCAAAGTTTGGGTATGTATCCAGACACCAATGATTCGTTAATTAGAGTTGAGACGGGTTTAGCAATTGCCGGCGCACTGAGCTTCAACAGCATTGCTGGGATTTGATCAGGTCCGGACTGGTTTTTCATTTTTAGATTATTAAGATGTTTTTTAATGACACTAACAGGTACAGGTCTAAAATTAAACTTATCTATATTGGGCCTTTGCAAATTTAGTGGGGCCTGATCCACATTTGTAGTTTCAGGATGCGTGTCATTTATTAGCTTGGCAATCAGGGCAGTAGAGCATCCGACAAAATAATTGTTAAAGGCATTTGCTACATCTAAGGGAAGTTGCAGGGTTTGGTTACCCACTTTGACAGTGGAGGGTTGGGAGTGGATTGGGGGAGTTTGTAGTTTATTTATGACTTTCCAAAAGTTTCTAGGGTTTGAGATGTTACTGTTCAGATTTTCATAGAAATATTGGGCCTTGGCCAGTTTTGTCTGTTTTGTGCATATATTTCGCCATTGTCTATATGCACCGTGATCATTCATAGAGCCAGTACGCTTAAATTTTGACCACAAAGAATCCCGAAACTGGTACATTTGGATGAGGTCAGCTGTGATCCAGTTCATATGCGCTCCTTTTACCCTCACCTTACGCAGCGGGGCATGCAAATTCCAAATTTGTAGGAGTTCAGACTGAAAGTATTCAACAGCACAGTCTAGATCTGGGATAATGTTTAATCTGTGCCATGGGAGATTCTTGATGTCATTTAAAAAGGATTCAAGATTAAAAAATGGCTGCTGGATATATCTAGCGGTAGGCCAACATGTAGTAAAGGCTTGCGCATCAGCCAATTCCCTCGCTCTACAAAGCAGAAATTGGGAAGGGTCTGAGTAATATTGTTGGGGCAGGTTATCCAATCTGCCACAACATGGTCATAGGCCAGCTTCTTCATACCACAGTCCCAAGAATCCATAATCTCCAAGACCCCCTCACTCAGAAGACTACTTAGAGACCAGTTATTGTGATACTGCTTGCTTTTGGCAGTTGTCTGCCGTTGCAAGTGGTGGAGTTGGGTCAAGCCATGGTTGGCCCTCAGCCTAGTTAAACATACTGGGAGATGAGAAGAAACTTGTCAGCGTGCATCGAGGTTCGCCTAGTCTGATTTTTTCCTGAGGCAGCAGCGAGGGACTCATCTATCTCTTTTCTAGCTGGGCCTCAATGCCCTGAAAGATTGCCTTCAGCTGGGAATGCTTAGTGGATTCGTGTGTATCACCACGGCTCAATAGTCAGGTACTGCTCTGTCGGAGGAGGCCTCTCCACCATCTTGTGAAGCTTGGTTGCTGTCAGGCTGGTAGTAAGAGCTAGGTTTTGGAACATGAGGAACAGTGTAGATTAGTAGAGACCGGATTAACCCCCAATGGTCCAGAAGGCCAGGGGGTAGAAATGCATGAGGTCCACACAGCAAATTTGTAAGCGGGGAAATCGGATGCTTTTCCCTAACACAGCTGTGCACATGCCACCACGGTCTCCCAATGATGAAGAATGCCAGGTAAGGGGTCGATGAATTCACCACAGCAGCCAAAAGTAGGAAGCGTGTGTTGGCTTCGTTTTTTTTGTGTTAAACAGCGAATTCTGTCAAGAGTCGGTAAGATGAGCAGGAGCTCGCTGGCCATACGTCTGGTCAGCACGTGGGCTTCGCCACCTATTTCTTAGGTTTTAATTAGTGCTATATTGTTTTGAATAAAAACCAGGGTCAGGAGGAGTGAATTTGGTGAAGGATCGAGGGTGAGAAAAACACTACCCTACAATTCAACCACACCAATCATGTGGTTTCAATAAACTATTTTATTTTATTATTTTAAGAAGTGCCTTAAAACCAGTCTCTTTAGGAAAGCTTATGGCCTCCCAGAGTAACCTCTACCTCACATACCTATCTCTTACTCTCTCCTAAAGGGAAGCACTTTACTCTCTCCTCCAGCTCTGCTTCACTCCCACCTTAATTGATTGCTATTTCCTGTCCTAATGTGTTTTATACCCCATCCAGGGCCGGTGCTTCCTGTAGGTGACCTAGGCAGTCGCCTAGGGTGCCCCCTCAGAAGGGGCGCCAGCCCTTCAAAAGCTGCAGCCGCCTGAGCGCTCTATAGAGAGCCTCGGGTGGCTGCAGCACTGCCCGGGCTGGCACGTCCATGAGGGCGCACCGGCCCGGGTGTGCAAGAAAAGGGCGCACTGACCCAGGCACTTCCTGTCAGTCCAGCCGGGTACAGGAAGCTCCTGTACTGCGGACAGGACCGGAGCTAGGCCACACTACAACAGAGAGGTAGGGGAGGGGGGTGAAGAGAAGGGAAGAGACCACTGGGGAGTGACCACTAAGGGAGGAGGTGTGGGGAGAAACCACCATGGGGGGGGGGGGGTTGAAGAAGAGTCCACTGAGGGGGGTGAAACCACCCTGGGAGGAGGATGGGGTTGGAGGAGAGACCGTCGGTGGGAGAGGGGTGAGAGAGACCACTAAGGGAGGGAAAAGGGTGAGGCGAGACCACCATGGGAGGAGGAGAGGGGTGAGAAGAGACCACAAAGGGAGGGGGGGTGAGGAAAGACCACTAGGGGAGGGGGAGTGGGGTGGAGGTGAGACCACTAGGGTAGGAGTGGGGAGAGAGGAGAGACCACTAATGGAAAGGGGGAGGAGGGAGAGACCACCAATGGAAAGGGGGGAAGATGGGAGAGACCACCAATGGAAAGGGGGAGCAGGGACCACTAATGGAAAGGGGGGGGAGCAGGGACCACTAATGGAAAGGGGGGAGGAGAGACCACTGGGGTGGGACAGAGGAGATTAGAAACCACTGAGGGGGGAGGAGAAACCACTAAGGGACAGGAGAGGAGAGGAGAGAAAACTAAGGGGCAGGGGAAAGCTCTATGGGACACAAGGGAGAGCTCTAAAGGTCAGGAGGCAGGGTAGAGCTCTATGGGGGGAGGGGTAGGAGAGAGCACTAAGGGATGGGGGGAGCACCAAGGGACTGGGGGGGGAGTAGGAGAGAGCACTAGGAGACAGGAGGGGAGAGCTCTAAGGATGGGAGGGGAGAAAACTAAGGGACAGCAGGGGAGAGCACTATGGGAAAGGGGGCGGGGAGATCACTAAGGTACAGTGAGGCAGGGGAGAGCACTAAGGGACAGAAGGGGAGAGCTCTAAGGGACAGGAGGGGGAGCTGTAAGGGACAAGAGGGGAGAAAGGCTGAGGAAGGGGGGAAAGAGAAGCACAAAGGGGCTGGAAGGAATCAGCCCTTATCCTACCCCACAAACTCTCTCTTTCACACTACACACACAATGCTTCCTTATACATACACAGAAACACACAATGCATCCCTACACAAACAAACACACCGAGCTTCCCTGACACGCAGAAAAACATACAATGCATCCATTACGCACAAAGACAATACATTCCTTACACACACAGAAACACAATGCACCCCTTACACACACTGCATCCCTTACACACACAAAAACACACCTTGCATCCCTTACACATACAAACACAGATTCACACAATGCATCCCTTAAACACAACCAGAAACACACAATACATTCCTTACACAGAAACATACACTGCTTTCTATCCCTTACACAAAAACACACTTATTCCGCTATACACACACACTGCATCACCTACACAAACTGGTATCCCTATACACTACATTCCATAAGCACACACTTTAGATCCTCTACACTAACACATAACACATCCCCCTACACACTCCACTCCCTGTGAGCGAACTCATGGGTGGAACATATAGGTGGACTTATGGGTGGGTGTTATGGACATACTCACCGTCAGACCCTGGTGGCCCAGACCTTGAGCTGTGCAAGGGGCCCAAAAAATGGAGCTGCTTCACGTTCCCCCAGAACATTGACTTTTGTGACCACAGTTACAAACAGCCACCAGAGAGCCTGTTCTGCACCAGACCAGTGGAGAAGAGCCCATCATCATCATCCTCATCTGGTTGTAAGTAGGCAATCTAATATATTATTGGTGGCACTAATCTCTAATTTACCTCACATTAAAGGGACACTATAGTCCCCAGCTTAGTGTAGTGGTTCTGGTGTTTATAGCCTGTGTCTGCAGGCTGTGTGCAGCACTGACGTTAGTTCATATGGCAGATCAAATGGGTGGGGCATTGTGATGTCACATGGGGGGGCAGCAAATTTGTATTTTGCCTAGGGCGCAAAAAACTTGCACCGGCCCTGACCCCACCTCCTATAGACTGTGAGCTTGTTTGAGTCCTATTCAACCTATCTTTCCTGTAAGTTTTCTTATAATTGTCCTATTTATAGTTGAATACCCCCTCTCATAATATTGTAAAGTGTACGGAATCTGTTGGCACTATATAAATGGCAATAATAATAATAATAATAATAATAATTTGTTTTGGGACAGAAGGGTCAAAAAACAGGTCTCGACTGTAGAAGATAGGTCAGGAGAGTTGGCAAGTATGCCGTACCCTGAAGTATGAAACCTTTAGCAAAAGGCATAAAAGTACGCACAGTAGCAGAGACATTCCTGAAAAAAGACTTGAACGAGCAGCTAAAGCTACTGGAAAGGCCACAATGCAACAATACTTACCCACATTAATGGTACTCATAACTCCTGTTTCCGTGCCAACAATATTAAATTATCCCACAGTTGGCATCATACCTGCTCAATGATGTTTATAAAGGTACATTCAAGAATATCTTGATCTCTGCCTTGATGTTCAGATACAAAGAACAAAAACCAACAACCCTAAAAATAGAATAACCATGACTCGATTATTTAGTTGCTCACACAAGCCTCGGGAGATGAAATTAGGAATCCCAGATTCACGAATGCTTTATACGCTCCACTTACATGGTGACCTATATCTAACAATGCAGAGAAGTGCAGCATAAAACGAAATATTAGTAACTCTGTGTGTCTTTCTTTCTATTTGTGCCGCAAGGGAATTTTGCTTTTCATGTCTTTGTGTACAGTAGCTTTTATTACTAAATAAAAAAAAGTACCATTAAAGAAATATACACACCAAAAATTACACAGACAGACATAAATTCAAGTAGTGACCACAAGAGACATGTTTCCACAGAAAGAGGATGGCTAGAGTATGAGGGGTCATTTTACTGTATAAAAATTAACTGAACTAAATCAAATGTTATTTTCTATTCAAACTAAATCACTAAATCAGTTTTATTCATGATCAAACATGGCAGCATTTACTCATGGGTTAGCTCCTCCCCTCACAGCAGAAAGGACAGGAAATAGAACTCAAACTGGTATAAATAGATCCTCCCCCTTTCCTCCGGTCATTATTTTTCCTGTCCTTCAAGGCAGTTTGGAACCGTCCAATCCTGTCACACCGTTCCAAATTTGTTCCCTGGTGTCCCACTTTTGAGAATCGTTCCCAAAAAGCTTATTGTGAGCATGTCTAATGATGCTATGTTTAGTAAACTAGAACCCTGGCAGGGGTGCTGTAACAGCACTCCTTGGTGGTTCGGCTTGCCTGATTGGCAGGCTGACCTGACAATTCTTTTGGCAGAATTGCCACTTTTCCTGACAGGTACATGTAAGAGGTGCCTCCCTGAGTAACCACTTTAGTGACCTCTCCCTGAGGGGATGACAGCGGTCCACTAGATACATCAAGCCAAGCCAGGGCTAAGTCTCTGAAGATCCAGTAAACAGCTCTTACATAAGGTGACTACCTGGGTATGCCTCTTTTATGTATACCACCATCTCCCACTGGTGATGTTCAAATCTCACCCACTGGAAAGAAGGAGACCTGATTTCCAAAATGGAGACTGCTAATGGTGCTTTCTGTGTGCACACATCCATACACATGAGTTGCGACAAGATTGCGAAGTTCCATCTCCTAATTGGTCAAAACAATTAATGTTTTTAACCTTGATGGCAATGTTTAACCTTGGTGTATATTGCTGATTGTAGTTGCGCATTTTGTGCCAATTATTGGATCCCATGAGCAACTAACTCTGAAGCAATTACCGGACTCTTTTTCTTTGCCAAATTTGACTTTGATTTAAAAGTTATTAAAACTGTTTGTATCACTTGGTCATAACTGTAATAATCATCTTTAATGACTAAGATTCTACTGTGTAAGCACACTATTCCTGGTCAAGTTTATCATTTTTATTCAGGTTTCAGGCTAAGTGCACTTGAGTTGGTTTAGAAATTCCTTTAGAACTGAGTGAATTTTCTTAACTCATTATTAGAGTTGATTGGACACCTGGATGTTCGGGTCCGGCGGGTTCGGCCGAACTTTGAAAAAAAGTCCGGGTTCGGGCTCGAACTTGACCCCGAACTTGACCTCAAACCCCATTGAAGTCAATGGGGACCCAAA